TGGCACATGCCTAGACTCCCAGCAGTGGAGAGGCTGAGGCACGAGGATCACTGTGAGTTTAAGGCCAGCCTGAACCACGTAGCAAGACCCTGTCTCAAAAAAAAAAAAAAAAAAAGGAGGACAAGAGAGTGGAACTTTAGGCTCAGTAATGGTATATGCATGACTGAGGCTTAAGGACCAGAGGCATTTGTCAGTGGTTTACATCCACACTTTGAACATAAGTCAGGATTCTCTTTTAAAGCAAAAAAGGTCTGAATACAGGGTACCTCGGACTATTGCTCTTCTCTCTTGTAGAACAAATCTAGTTGCAAAATAGTATTATAGTCAATATTTTCCTTGGAGTTTTATTTTCTCTCAGAGGATACCCAGGTGTAGAAAAAGAGTAAAAAAATTGCAGTGTTCAAGAATATGCTCTAAAAGAGCAAGAGAATTTGACCTTGAATCTTCCATTTGAAAAGCCACAAGGGGAGAAAATTAATCTCTTTTAATCCCACCTACTTTTTATGCCCTCAAGGTGTTCCCTGATGTTTGCTGCTCTGGAGCAGGTGGCTGCTAACTAGAGAGTGACCTATCAGAAGATTAGTCAGACTAGATTATCCACCCTTACTGGGATGCACCTACTTCCTCTGAATTGCCATTTCTGTCTAAAGCTCACATTTTCAACTCCAAAGCATGTTTCTAAATGCAAAAGCTACAATTGAGTCCACTGTAACAGTGCTGTTTTAGAAGGGAAGCCTCACCAAACAGAAAATTAAACCAATGATCAAGGGACCTGAATGACTATTTAAGAGAGAGAGACAGAGAGAGAGAAAGAGGCTCAGAAGGGCAGATTGGAGGGAGTCCTTTAGGCTATAGTGTTTAGGGATCATAGATGTGCGTGTCTTAGAGACAGCTTTCTGTGGTGTCACCCGGAGATCTGTTTCCCCACAGTGGCTCTGGATGAGTTTTCCCAGCTGGTCCGGCTGATCCCATGAGAGACACTTGCTCAAGACATGGATGGACTGCATCCTTATGGTGTATCTTCCTGGATGACCATGACTTTCCTGTCCTGTCTAAGCCAGGGATGTTGTCTATTTTAAAGGAATGCCTTTCAAGATCACTACACATTCCCACTTTAGGGAAGAGAGAGTAAGTGCCTCTTACCTTTGCTGTCCTTAGCTACACGCACACATTTTCCAAGGGTATAGGAGCCTGCAATTGGAAAGGGAAAATTCTCAGGATTGCATTTACCATTTTCTAATAATATCAACAGCCACCCTATACAAGTTGTACTTCCAAAACCTGTTCCATCTGAATCCTCAGACACACCCAGGAGCACTGAGCTGTAAGCCAATTAGAGGTTCAAACACCATCCCAAAGAGCTGTATGTAATAAGAAACGAGGTCATCTCATAAAGGCAAAACAAGTCAACGCAGGAACACAAAGCCTTGTTCACAAAACGAAAGATGTCCCATCAAAGAAACCCAAACATAAAAGGTGACACAATCTTTCCATGCCCTCAACTTAAGCCTGTTATCATTTTGACAAAAAATACAGGGAGTAAGGAACTGACAAAGGATGACAGTTCTTGATTACCTAAATGAATCGCAATCCAGTTGAAACACTCTAAGGGGGTTCTATGGAACAAAAGCAAACTCTTACCTCTTTCCAAAGATCTTGGTGGAACCTCCAGTCTGCTGTGGAGAAAATAACTCCTAGCCTGTTAGATGTCAGCTGTCCCAAGCTTGTGTTTTCTGATACTAAAGAATGGATTTTAAGGACAAAGGAGGTTAAGAGTAGGAAAGGTTTGTTCAGAGAAAGTTCCCGAAAAAGAGGAGGGGACCATTAATTCAGGCATATGTCTTCTGGGCCTCTTCTGATCTGGGCTGGCAGAGCACGTGAGCCTGCTATACAGTATTACAGGGCCGGGTGCCCTCGCCCCTGCAGCCCATTCAGGCACCTCAGGTGCCTTAGTCCCAGAGCAGTTGTTAAAGAATAAAGGTTTGGCCAGGGATTTAGCTCAGTGGTGCCACACCCGGCCTCGAAAGTGCAAGGTCTTGAGTTTGATCCCCGGTACTGGGGGGAAAAAAAAGAATAAAGGTTTGTTTACAAATAATTTGGAAAGAATAAATTTTTGTTCAGTTCAAGGTTTGAAGGCTGGGAAATTCAAGATTCAGTGGCTGCATCCGGTGGGGTCCTTAGCTTACCAATTTAGATCTCTCTCTCCCTCTTATGAAGTCACAGTCGAAGTAAATTAAAGCCCCACCCTCATGACCTCATTTACCTTGTGGGCCTTAATTTCCTCCCAAAGGATACCATAGTCAGATTAAGTTTTTGCCTTCTTAATACTTTACGATGGGAATTAAATTTCAACATGAGTTTTAGTGGGGACATCCTAACCATAGTTCCAGGTGAGCCAACCCTACTCTGAGAATGGTCTCAGATGTACCCTTGGATTGTGCCTGAGGGTTGGAAATCCAAGTTCCTGGCCTATACTGTTTTTCTTCTGCAGAGCCATGCTTGAGCGCCCTGCTGGGGCCGGCACTGTGAGCTCCAGGAGAGGAAGCCTCCTGGCCCTCCCTCGCTATTGTCTTTAGAACAGAGGTGTCCTTGAGGACATTATCTTCTACATCTGAGCAACTCTTTTATAGAAAAAGGTATATAGGAGAGACTTTCAGGTCTCAGTACTCAGAAAAACTGTGCCACTATGAAATAATACTGAGAATCAACAAATGGGATCAAATTAAAAAACTTCTGCACAGCAAATGGAACAACCAACATAGTGAAGAGTCTACCTACAGAATGGGAAGTTTTTGCCAGCTTTTCCTCAGAGGACTAGTATCTAGAATATATAAAGAACTCAAAAAGCATTAGCTCCCCCCAAATAAAAGACTCCATCAAAAAATGAACAACTGAAATGAATAGACACTTCTCAGAAGAAAAAGTACAAATGGACAATAAATACATGAAAAAATGTTCAATATCACTGGCCATTAGAGAAATGCAAATTAAGACAACATTGAGCTACCATCTTACTCTAGAAAGAATGGCTGTCATGAAGAAATCTAGTAACAAATGCAAGGATGTGGGGGAAAATGAACCCTTCTGTACTGTTGGTAGGAAGGTAAACTAGTATGATCACTGTGGAAACCAGCGTGGAGATTCCTCAAAAAACTAAAACTAGAAATTCCACTTGATCCAGCTATTTCCTTTCTAGATATCTTCCCAAAAGAGTTGAAGTCATCACATTACAAGGATACATGCATACCCCTGGTTATAATTTATAGTATCTAAATCTTGGAAATGGCTTGAATACCCATCAGCAGATGAATGGATAAAGAAAATATGGTACTTATACACAATGGAGCACTATTCTCCCGTAAATAAAGATAAACTTGAGTAATTCACAGGTAAATGGATGCACCTGATGACCCTAATATTAAGTTATGTAAGTCAAACACATAAGTTTAAATATTGCATGGTTTCTCTTACATGAGAAACTTTAGTTATATATATTTACTTTTTAGTTATATATATTTTTAAAGTAAAATAGAAGATGGATAAATAGCAAGTAGGGAGATCTTTTTCAAGCTGAAGGGGGAACAAGAGACAGAGCGAAGGGGGAGGGAAGGGCAGAAAAGGGATGGGAAAAGCATTGAAGAAAAACAATGAACACAGTTTTTTCAAATGGGAAAGAGACCAAGGGTTGAAAGGGCCAGGGAGGGAAGTGAGGGGCAGGCCATGAAAAAAGAAGAGCTAAGACGCATTATATCCGTGTACCGAGTCCCCGTGATACTGTGGTCGTTACGTATTGCTAACATGTACCAACAAGCAAATAAAATGAGAACAGAAAAGGAAAACCGCGGCTCTGCAGAACAAGTTGATCACTGTGGGTTGGCCGACCCTCCTGGGAGCTGAGCTGCTAGACAGCGAGGGACTTGGGGCCCGACTGGCGGATCGGCGGGAGGACAATACCAGGTCGGCCTCACCCCCGTCCTGGCTTTTGCACCTGCCCTCCTGTTTACTTTCTGTGTTCTCTTATTCCCCTCAGCATTTTGCTTTACATTTCTCTTTTGTATACGTCTTTAGAAACTCCTCTCACTGTGCAGAAATGAGGTGAGGTATAAATATAAAAACGTGTGTTTCCGTCGGTGCCGATTTCACCGCAGCTGTGAGGAGAAAGAGTTGAATTGCTTTGCAAATGCCGTGGAAGCAAGATCACCTCCGGGGGCTGGGTGGGAGGCTGGGGGACTTTCCTGTAGGCTGGATCATCACAGCCGCACCCCTGTTCCAGGCCCCCGGGCCCAAAAGACTCATGGGTACCTGCTTTTTTTTTTAATGAGAGGTAATTACACACACACCCTTAAGATTTTGCTGAATTGACTTCAGTCAACAGCTGGAACGGAAACTCTGGCTGAAACTCATTCTGTGGACCAACCAGCAGGCACTTGTCCCTGGGGAATGGGAGGAACCATGCTGCTGAGAAGGCTGGATGGCAAGGAGGGGACAGGAGTGTAGGAAGGGGAGATAGGAGCCCTGGGGAGAGGGCAGGCCTTGGTGTGAATGGACCAGGGCACACAGAGCTTTCCACAGGAGTCTGCCCAGAAAATAAAAACAGAGTCCCTGGGACCCCTTGCACTATGCAAAATGGGGGAGGATGCTTTATATCCCTGGACCAAGTGACTATGCCTTTGCCCTGCTCCCCAAGTTTTTCAAACACCTTCCTTCCTTCCATGCTTGGCTGCCTCCTAAAAGGGCAAGGCCTACTTTGCAAAGCAGCATGAGGAGTCACCAGGTGCAGCGTGGCCTCTCCTGTGTCACATAAGCAGAGTAGGAGCCACCAGCCTTCCTTTCAGAAGATGTTGCTTGCCACTATGAATGGTAGGCAGGAGTCAGCCTCAGAGCTGCAAGGCACAGGGGAGGAGAATGTGCCCGGTGCCACCCAAGATTCCCTAGGAGCTGGGCTGGGCTTGAGGCCTGCTGCAGGGCTTGGCTCATGCTTTGTGCTGTCTTGTTGGCAGTGGAACCTGGTGTGTGAGGATGACTGGAAGACGCCCCTCACTGCCTCCCTGTTCTTCGTGGGCGTGCTCTTTGGCTCCTTCGTGTCTGGGCAGCTTTCAGACAGGTAAGGACCCTGGAGAGAGAAAAGCTGGGTAGTTCCCTGACTTTCTAGGGGTTGCCTTGGATTCAGGGTATTTCTCCCCCAGAAAAGGGGAGGACTCTCCGGCCACTAAGTCTGTGATTGGAGGAGCCTTGTCCTCAGCACTCCCTGCCTTACCACTTGTGTTCTCTCCCCCCAGACTGTGCTTTCAGCCTGTGCTTTGGCTGTGGTCGGTGCGAGGCCACCTATCCCACCGGAAAGTGAAGTCCCCATTCCACAAACCTGTTTTCAGAGCACAATGCTGTCATCCCATTGTCCCATCCCAACTCTTGAAAGTTACGTCAGGGGCAGGTAGTGGGTGACATGTGATTGATCCCCCAACGGTCACCAACCAGAGGTCAGGTCACAGGGTGAGCACTGGCTGTGGTCTCCCTGGGTCTGGATTTTGAGACCACAGAACTGACCCAGGCTCCTGAAGCTCATAGACTGGAATAGATAGCATCGCGACATCAGGCCCAAAGTTTCTAGCCTCACTCCAGTGGCTCTGCTCATTGCCTATGACTTTCCTTAGCAGACATACCATGTTCCTGGCATCTCCAACTTCCTGGGGTCTCCAGTGCACTTTTGGCTTCACTGCCACATCTTCATACAGTGCTCTCTCAGGAGGCACACCATCTGGCCTCTCAGGCCTTTTTCTGAAATCTTGGTGGAAGCGTCCATGACTCTGTAACTCTTGCATTCTGCATGCCTGCCGAACGAGCATCAGGTGGATGACTCTACGGTCTGCTGCCAGCTCAACAGTACCCAGGCTCCTTTAGATCATGGCTGCAGAGGCCACTGAGTGCCTGAATGGCTGAGCACTGTGAAAGAAATCCCAAAAAATGACTCTAGCTCCACTCCAGCAGGGGGCCCAAAGACTCTATTCTCAAATGAAAGCTTTGTAGTTTAACATTCCAAAACCTGTGAAGAGTGGGGTCTTGCTGATTCCTGAGATATCTTCAAGCTATCTTTTCTATTGTCCTCATGCAAAGTACTTGGCTTCTTTTTAATGTTTATCCTTTTAGCAACTACATTCTTCACGGCCCCAACTCTGCAAGTGCTTCCTTTCTGATAAAACTACAAATTTTTCACATCTGCATTTGCCTTTTGATTTTCACTGTAGATCTGGCTAAAAGCAGTACCCACACCATAGCCCAAATGTAGGGCTGCTTTGAAATTTCCTCAGGCAGATTAATTAGGCCACTGCCCTTACTCTCAATCTCTTGCAGTCTCAGGACATGGGCAAAATGAAGACACATTTTCTGCCAGAGTGTAACACACATAGCCCCTAGTTCAACTGCCAATGGAGTTGTTCACAACAGAAACTTTCTAAGCCTGGCCTTTATTCTCTGCATTCCCATTAGCATTCTGGTCTTCTGAGCTCCAACTAGAATCTCCTACCAATCTGCTTACAGTGTTTTAGGGCTTTTCTATCTGGGTTCTTCAAACCTTTCCAAACTCCTTCTGTGAACTAATTCCAAAGGCTTCTGGGGGTTGGGGATTTAGCCCAGTGCTTCTGGCACCTGCCTTGAAAGCACAAGGTCCCGAGTTCGATCCCTGGTACCAAAAAACAAAAACAAAAAAACCCATAATGACCAAAGGTTTCTGAACCACATAGTTATGTATAGTTACAACAATGACCCCACTCGTGGTACCAAAATCTTCCTTAGTCATTTTCCTATCCCTGGGATCCAATACCTGGCACCTACAAAATTTTTTAAAAGAGTTTATTTTGACACAAGGCTTCAGTCCTTTGTCACATGGCTCAAGGCAGAAATGGCATGAGGGAAGGGCCTGGCAGAAGAAAGCTGTTCAACCCATGGCAGCCAGGAAGGGAGGGGCACTGGGCCTGAGAATACACCCTTCCAGGTCCAATACACTCTACCAGGACCACCTCCACCCAGGCCCCACCTACTAAGAGCCTGTCTAGCTACTGAACTCACAGTGGATGAAGCTGCTGGTAAGTATAGTGCCCCTGTGACCCAAATACCTTCCAAACACATGAGGCTTTTTAGATCTAAACCATGACACACTCTGAATTGCTGCCCAGCTGCAACCTGCATGTCTCATGTTTTATGTTATGCTGTATTCCACAGGTTTGGCAGGAAGAGTGTTCTCTTTGCAACCATGGGTGTGCAAACTGGCTTCAGCTTCCTGCAAATTTTCTCCATCAACTGGGAGATGTTCACAGTGTTATTTGTCATCGTGGGCATGGGCCAGATCTCCAACTATGTGGTGGCCTTCATACTAGGTAGGAATGGCTTCTGAGACACAGGGTTCCTCCTTCAGCTTTCTGAAAGGCCAGGAAGGAGGGGGACACTAGGATACACTTCCAAAGCTCAATCAGCCTTATGTACATGTGCATTGAGGTGTGAGTTGTAACCAGGGGCTCCTTAGGCCAGTCATGGACAGGAAAGGTCCTCCCAAGGAGCCATCTCTGTGCTTGCCCGTGAAAGGAGTCAAAACCAACCACACAACCACTGAGATCCATTCTTAGGAGCACAGGGCTTGGGAGAAAGATAGAGAAGGGGGAGCTGAGGGAAGAACAGCCTGGGGATATCTTTGATCTAGGGTGTGAAGCCTAGACACTTCTGCCTGACACCGTAGGAAGGGACTTAGGACAGTTGGTGGGGCTGCTACACAGGTGGGAATGGCACTTGTCATACAGGAGGAATTAACAACAGTGTATCTAGACCAATCTGGTCTGACCCAAATCAACACCAACCTTGACTATATCAGCTGTGTGTAAGATCAGTCTCATGGTGCTGATAGTAGCCTGCAACTGCTAGGCTGTGGCTAGGAATACCAGGCTGCAGAAGAAAAGTCATCAGTGACAAGGCTATGAAGAGGCCCCTAGCACCTTCTCCAGCTTCTCTGGGGGAGGAAGTGAAGGGAGCTGTAGATGGGTTGACCAGGGCCATCCTCAGGAGTGAGCCCCCGACATGCTCTCTGAGCCCCCAGCATGGGCAGGTGAGAAGAGGGGCGAGGAAGGGCACCTCTAGCACAACTGACACCAGCTCCTATAGCTTTGGTGCGATCATTCTCGTTGGCTTGGCACTGCCCCGGTTTATATCTATTGTCACTATTGTCACGGTGTGATTACGAATGGTGCCCCTTGAGTTGGAGTTCGAGCTATGATTCTTCTTGTTTCAAAAGTCTGCATCTGGCTGGGTAACTCATAGCTTTCAAGACTTTGATGACTCTTTGGCTTTGGAGATGCGATGTTCTCTTAGTTGAAGACATGTACAGCGTCTGTCAGACTGCCAAGACGTAATTTTCCAAATTCTACTCCTTTAACTATTTATGAAGGGTTGCTTGCCTCAGGCCAGTCTAGGCTTCTACTGAGGGAGGAGAGAGGAAAGGAGGTAGGGAGAGCATGCTGAACCCACACAGTCCCAGCAGATAGCAGACTTCAGTAGACCCGGGCAGGAGGAGGCTGCTTTCCTTCCTGCAGGGGACAGGATTTACTTTAAGATCATTTGTGTAGAAAGCACAGGGAGCTAGCTACATGCCACTGGCACTAGGAAGTGGAGAGTAGATGGACTTGGGACAGAAATTATAGCCTCCTCATAGCTCCAAAGCCAAACTAGGTGCTCTCCTTGGGCCAGACCCATCCCAGGAACTAAACAGGCCTCCCCCTACAGAGGATTCAGCCCATGACCAGCTGACCCACATCACAGAAGGCCTTGGAGACTCTGTGGGAGGGACAGAAGCCAGAGCATCCCATCAGGAGCAGGAGCAAGGTGGGGGTGCTGGGCAGTGGTACCCCCAGATTCTGCAGAGCTAAACCCGCCTCTGCCCTGCACAGGATGTTTCTGAGGCCCCGGAGTCTCTCCTCTGACAGTGGATGAGGTAAGAACAGACCTCGGGCTCCTTCAGGAAAGATCTGCCCCTTGAGGCCTGGCAGTACCATCCTCTGCCCTCCAGGCTCCCCCACAGTCTGTGGTCTCAAATGCAGGGCTGAGAAGTGTATGAGCGGAGTGTCAGTCTGAGCCTAGATGCGCTGAGTTTGTGATGGGGCGGGATGCTGGGTGCACCACTCCTGTCAGCTCCTGGCATGCCTGTTGCACCAGGGACTTCGGTCCTGATATGAGATTGCTGTGTGGGGTTCTTGAGTCTGAAAGTTTGAAAGTCACTGAAAGCCCAGCCTGTTCCAGAGCGGCTGGATTCAGCAGTCTGGGCCTGGTATGAGGGGGACTGACAAGGCAAGGACTTGGGGGCTGTTCGCGTCCCACGGCACAGGAGCGCCCTCTGGTGTTTCAAGCCAAATTTCAGATTTCATTTTATTTAATTCTAATTATTTTTATATTTTTCCTTGGGCTGGGACGAATCATCCAGGTCTGATTTGATTAAAGTAAACCAAAAGATAGCGTCTGGGCTAAGAATTTCTGTTTGCTCCTTCACTTTTGCCCCCTGGCTCTTCAGTAATAACTCCAGTGTTAGGAATCTTCCCATTAAACTAGAAAACGGACCTAACCAGCTTTCATGGTTTTACATCGTAAAGAAATGCACACGCTGCAGGTATGGTGGTCCATGCCTGTCATCCTGGGACTCTGAGGTATGATGAGGTATGATGAGGTATGATGAGGTATGATGCTGAGGCAGGAGGACTGCAAGTCTGAACCCTGCCTGAACAACTGGGCAGCTTAGCAACTTAGCAAGAGCCTGTCTCAAAATAAATTTTAATAGAAAAGAGAGTGAGTTCATCCTCCAGGGTTGAAAACAAAAAGCAGAAATGAGTCCTCTCCTAGTGCTGCTTTAAAAAAATCATCATCGGGGGCGGGGATTTAGCTCAGTGGTTCTGCTGCCTGCCTTGCAGGCAGGTACCAAGTTCAATCCCCAGTACCAAAAAAAAAGAGAGAAGAGAAAAAAAATCATCATCAAATCCATGAGAGTCATAGGATTCTAAAAAGAGGCATGGAAAAACCAGTGCGGTCCAAAGCAGTCTAATGGAGATACACCTGCAGGGGTCGTCCTGCTAGCATGTCACTGATGTAAGAGGAAATGAGGACTCAGGACCAAGGACACTAATCCTACCCAGATCCAACTCCTTCACAGTCTTCCATTGTTTCTCATTTACCCAATGAGCCTGTTCGCAGCTCATAGGTGTGATTCACAGGTGGCCAGGGCACCTTACATCCTCCACAACTAACTGCTTACCTGTCTCCTGCCCGGAAAGTTAACTGCCTCCTATCTCATTAAGCTGGACTCATTAATTCGACATCTTCCAGTTCTCCTAACCTCAGCCTTCCATGTGGCATTTCTTTGGACATGCTGAACTGTTTAAAGCTTTCTTTCCTCTGATACCTAGGTATTTCCCCTTTTGATGAATGTATAGCTGACGGCATCTTCCATTATAACTTTGGCTACCAGTAAGCTCAGGCAAGTTGTAAACTGAGCTACATTAATTGTTCAGTTTTTATCAGCAGCTTTTATATGTAGTTGGGTTTTTTAATTTAATTTTTATTTTTCTTGCACTGCTGCAAATGGAGCCCAAGGCCTTATGGATATTAGGCAAGTGCTATACCACTGAGCTGTAACTCCAGCCCCAGATGCTTTTAAAAAAAAAATTTTTGGCGGAGTGGGTACAGGGGATCGAACTCAGGACCTTGCGCTTGCGAGTCTGGCAGTGGAACCACTGAGCTAAATCCCTGGCCCAAAATGCTTTTAAATTACAATATAGTTCTGTTTTAGTCACTGAAGTAGGACATCATAAGCAAATACCATAGGCTGGGGTGGCTTCAACGAGAAAAATGCAGTTCTCCACAGTTCTAGAGAATAAAAGAAGGCTAAACTGAGGGAGCCTTCGGGCTGGGGGCTGGTGAGAGCTCTCCCCGCTGGGTTGCACATGGCTGCACCCCTATGTGCTCACATGCAAATGGGTTGCACATGGCTGCACCCCTGTGTGCTCACATGCATCCCCTCTGTGCAGCACAGCGGGGATCAGGAGGATCTTACAGCTTCTCTCTCTCTCTCTCTCTCTCTCTCTCTCTCTCTCTCTCTTTCTTCCTTCCCTCCTTTCCTTCCTTGCTTCCTTCCTTCTTATTTTGAGACAAGACTCACTAAGTCATTACGCTGCCCAGGCTGGGCGTAATTGCAGTCCTCCTGCCTCAACCTCTCAGAGTGCTGAGGTCATAGGTGTGTGCCGCCATGCTTGGTGGGTGTCTCTTCATAAGAACAGCAGTCTCATCAGATGGAGGCCCTGCTCTTAGGCCCTCATTTAACCTCTGGCAATTATTACTCCACTTTGTCTCTATGGGTTTGCCTATCCTGGGCATTTCATACATAGGGAATCATACAGTGTGTGGCCTTTGAGACTAACTTCCTTCACTTAATATTTTCAAGGACAGGCCACATTGTACCATGAATCAATATTCCACTGTAGAAATACAACACATTTTGTTCATCAGTTCATCAGTTAGGAGATATCTGGGTTATTTCCATGTGGCAGTATTATGAATAATACTATGAGCATTTTAATATAAGTTTTGGTGTGGACATATGTTTTTAGTTCCCTTGGGTATGTACCTAGGATGGAATGGCTGGGTCATATGGTAACTCTGTGTTCAACCTTTTGAGGAACTGCCAGACTTTTTGCAAAGTGATGTTGCATATTTGTGTTTTTTGTTCAAGATACAAGTTTTTACTTTTAAAAACATTTTACCTAATAGTGCCATAGTTTTATTGTATTTAAATTATAAACAGCCTCAAAATCTTCATGGAGTAAGTTGAGTACAAATACATGAACGTGGTACAGAAATTGCCTTATTTGCACTGCAGTCTCCTAGGGAAGAACTAGGCGGGTGCCAGGGAGCAGTAAGGACTCACTCCTGGCTGAGCAGGGATGGGGGCCGTGGTGGAGAAAGTGTAGATAACGTTGCTAGGTATAGGCAGAGACAGGAAAAGCCTGGTCTAGAGCGCCCTGAGCAGAACACCCCCTGACTTGATGAGATTTCTAAGCAGTTTCTAGGGAGCAGAGAGGTTCTACAATTTTCCACCGGGCCATTCCCTTGAACAGTGCTTGCTGTCTCCCCGCTGCCATCTACACATTTCAGCTGTGGCACTGGGATAAAGGGATAACTGAGCGTACTGCTAGGCACTCCACATTCATTATCTCTGTCCTTATAACTCCAGTCACTGTAGCCAGGACTTAGCATCGAGGAGCCATGGGCTCCACACACCACCTGGGGATGCTCCTCTGCCCCCAGACCCTGGCAGCCGCACTGCAGTTTCATTTCTTGAGCTGGGGTCCTCTGCAGCCTTTGGGCCCTGATGGGCGTGGAAGTCCCTCACGTGGAGTGTGCCTGTGGCTCTGGGACTGACTGTCTCAGAAGGGCCCTGAGCTGCCTGGCCCTGCTCAGTCCTTCTTAGAAAGTGCTCTGATTCAGGAGGAGGTGACAGCTAGTGGGAAAATTCTCCTAGAACTACTCAGGCCCTCGTCCTAGCCCAAACAGGCCCCTTTGGCTGAGACGTCAGAGTTTCACTCTCAGGAGACCGAGGCCCAACCAGACCAAGACCACCCAGAGTTTGTCCTGGAGCAAAAATCTCCACTATGGCCTGTGTCTGCTGCTCACCAGGGAGCGAGCTTCCCCCACATTGCCAGGAGTGAGTCCTTGCTCCTCCCTGGCACCCGCCTAGTTCTCCCCTAGGAGACTGCAGTGCAAATAAGGCAATTTCTGTACCGCATTTATGTATTTATACCTCAACTTACTCCATGAAGATTTGGGGAGAGAGGCAGAAGGACAGGGATTCCCGTCAGCAGAGACCGGAGTGACCACTATCAACTGTCACATGGCCAGTTAACTCGGGGTGTTTGTGGCAGCTGCAGGCCGTGAGGTCTGCAGGAACCAGGATTCCCCTCCTAGTGTTCCTCAAAGGGGCTCCGGCTGGTGGTACAGTGACAAGCCAAGGACAGGAAGACGAAAATCCTCACTTCCGAGAGGTGGGGACAGCCCCTCCCATCTCCCATCGGGGCTCCACTAGTTTCTTAGTTCAAGAACTACTGCACAGGACCAAGGCTTTGCCCTGGGGGTTCATTTCTTGGAGACTACACCAGTATCCATAGGTCAAACAGATATGATTTAAACCCTGAGTGTCCCACTTATTATGAGTTTATGTAATTGGCATTAGCTGCTTAAGTCTCAGCTGAATCAGTGTAAAACAGTGGTAGTAAGGGCTGGGGATGTAGCTCAGCAGTGTCACCTGCCTGGGAAGTGCAAGGTCTTGAGTTGGATTCCCAGGCCCAGAAAAAAAATAGTGGTAACATTAGTTCTTCTATAACTGTTTTGAAGAGTTCAAAGATATAATAGATGTGAATGCTTAGCCTAGAACCTGGCTCACAGTGCTTACTCCAAAATCAGTGCCATCTGTGATGATGATGATGCTGCTGATGATGACGATGAGATGATGGTGGTGGTCGTGGTGGTGATGATGGTGATGGTGTTTTAAGAAGTGTGATTGCCTAAGTCAGAGAGCAGAAGGTAGCGCTAATAAGGAATTGTCTGGGTTTGAACGACTCACGTTATTCCACAGCAAGGCAAAGAGGTAAATTTACAAAGCTTCTTCTCCCCCTGGGTACTCTGTAATTGAAACAGCTCTGTTCTGGTCCCAGCATAGCGGAGGAGTTTATCCCGAGCCCAGTGGTAGCCTTCTCTCTCGCTTCTCGTATCAAGCCTATGAAGGATGAGGCGCCTCTGGCCTCGCAATCCTACAAGATTCTCACTTGCATTTTCCTTTTCCATGATCAGATCCTCCGCTATTTCACTTGTGAATTTCTGCTTAGGAACAAAGCACACCCTATTCATTTTCTTATTGTCCTCCCAGCTAATGGGCTTAGAAACCATGGCATGTTAGGAAAGTCATTCATAAAGTACGAAAAAACCTGAAAATCACATGCATGCTCCTCCAAGAAGTCAGGCCCTGTTAGGGTTTCTATCTAGATGTCCCCCAAAACCCCATGGGATCATAAGCAGGACCTTGACAGGTGACTGCATTACGGGGTCTTCTAGCTGACTCGCTGTCCAGAGAGGGGCGTGACTGGGAAGAGGCACTCACCGTGGGTCTGCCTTCCTGGCTCCTCCCTTGGCTGTCTGCCCTGCCCCTCTGCCAGGCCCTCCTGCCTGGGAGCCACCTACCTACCATGGACTGAAACGTGAGCCAGAATAAACCTTTCCTCCCTTAAATTGTGAATGTCACATAACGAGTCCCAGCCACAAGGGAAGTGACTGAGACAGCCTCCATCCTTAGAAACAAGTTTATAGGCTGAGAAATGCCCTGGGCAGCTGGGAGGCAGAGGCACAGCGCTGGAGGTGCAGAGCAGGGCTCTTAAGTGGTTGCTTATGATGGAACCGCTGAGTTCTGCTGAGTGGGAGGGGAACGGGGAAGCTGAAGCAGCAATGTTGCTGCTTCTTTGGATTAATCTCTTAGTGTTTAGGGCATACAAATATGATTAAGAAAATCTTTCTTGAAAGCTATGCGACCTTTGAATTTATCTGTGTTGTAGTCCTCTCCTGGGGCAGAGGACCCAGAATGGATTCTGGGAAGGCCTGGGGCTCTATAACCGGAGGAGCTTGCTCGTGGACTCCCTGTCTCAAGCCCAGAGCTCTGAAGGGTCCTGCGGTGTGGAAGAGCCAGTGCTGAGCAGTCGGTCCACTGTGGTGGTGAACAGGGCAGGGTCCCACAGCTGCCAGCGTGTCCTTTCCCAAAAAACACCCGGACGCCTCGGCCTTGGGCCGGTGTTCTGGGGCTCTGGGAAAGCTCAGCAGAGTTCCCTGGGTGTGTGGCCAGCTCCTGTTTATGAGTCAGGACGCAAGGTGAGAAAGGGTGTCCTAACAGCTAGGAAACTGAGTGTCCTTGGTTTCCCGTTGGGCCAATGCCAGTTTACTGACAGTTAGACATGTGGAACAGAATAACCGCACCTGATCCCACACAGCCCGCACAAGAGCCACCTTCCTGCAGGCTAGGCAGTCTCTGCTCCTCGTGCTGGAGCTCTGATTCTGGAAGTGCAGCATTCTCAGAAGGGACTGTCACATTCCTGTGACCTGAGATGATGGTGCGCACCTATAATCCCAGCACTGGGGGTGAGGGCGTGAGGATCACAAATTCAAACCCAGCTTTGCAACTCAAAATAAAAGAAAAAGAAAGGGCTGGGGATGTAGCTCAGTGCAAAGGTTCTGGGTTCAATCTCTAGTACTGGAAGGGTGGGTACTGAAGTGGGAGAATCACTTGATCTTACAAGTTCAAAACCCACCTGGGCAGCATATCAAGATTCCGTCTCAAAAAACAAACACAAAACAAAGCAAATCTATGGCTCCTTTAAAATTTTCATGAAAACCCATCTTGGACACCTTTCCACCTCCCCACCCTTCCACTCCTGCTCTGGCCGTGAAGTGAGCACCTTTTCCTTTTTCTAAGCGGCCACAGTTTGAACTCCAGCTTCCAGGTAATGACATGCAAAGCAAATATGAAAGCGAGTCCAGATGCTAATCCTCCTCCCTTGTTTTGAACAGGAGCAGAAATCCTTGGCAAGTCAGCTCGTCTAATATTCTCCACCTTAGGGGTGTGCACATTTTTTGCAATCGGCTACATGCTGCTGCCGCTGTTGGCTTACTTCATCAGAGATTGGAGGATCCTGCTGCTGGCGCTGACGGTGCCCGGGGTGCTGTGCGTCCCCCTGTGGTGGTGAGTGCACCGCCTCCCCTGTCAGCCCCTGGTTGTGCCCTGAGACACTGGGAGTGGGGGCCTGGTGCCAACCTCGGCCTCCACTCTGGAAGGCTGCGGAAAAGGGAGAGGCTCTGCCTCTGTGTGTGGGCCGTGCACTGGGGTGTGACCATCCACTACCCCACAGAGCCCTGTCCTCAGGCATTCCAGTCCCTCCCAGCCTCTCCTGCTCCAGGCTGTGGCTGGCTGTTGTTTGTGGCGACCGGATTGTTGGGTTTTCTTTTTCATTCTGCCCCCCGCTTTCGGCACTTTTCTTTCTCTAGAAAATCTCTTTGTTCAACCACACTGCCGTCGGCCCTCTGTGTCCTTGGGTTCTGTGGAGTCAACCAAAAGAGGATGGCAAAAAAAAAAAGGTTAAATGAATGTGTACTGAGCATGGAGACTTTTTCTTGCAATATTCCCTAAACAATATGGCACCACAGCTATTTACATGACATTAGATAGCAAGGAGCTAGTAGTAACTCGGTGGTAGAGTGAGCTAAGCATGTGTAAAGGTTCAATCCCCAGTACCCTCCTCCCAAAGTACACACCCCCACCCACCCCCACAGAAATGTATGAATATAAGGGTCTACAGAGGAGGATGCGCATAGATTACATGCAAATGCTGTGCTACCTTATAGAAAGGACTTGAACATCTAAGGAGCTTCATATCAACAGGGGCTCCTGGAACCAATTCCCCCCAAATACCAAGGAACATGTAAGTGCTTGCCATGAATAATACCAAAGGTGTGCCCTTTGTCTGCTTTGTCCTGAAGAGTGAGGGAATCGCTTTTGTTTTTGTTTGTTTGGTACTGGGATCAAACTCTGGACATTGCGCTTAGGAGGCAGGTGGCAGAACCACTGAGCTAAATCCCTTGCCCCAGAATTGCTTTGGTTTAAAGAATTGCTGAAATGTTCTCTTCTGTCTTCCCACAGTCTTGCAACTCAAAAGAAATTTTTTTCTTTTTTCTTCTGCTTTGATGCTAGGGATTAATCTAACCTAGGGCCTCATGCATATAAGGCAAGCATTCTGCCACTGAGCTATCCTCCCAGCTCCTCCTCAACTCAATTTAGACACAACAGTTATAGGAATAATAAAGTTTGGAGATTCTACCCTCAGTCTTCTCCAACATGATTAACTGGAAGATTTCAGGTGAAAGAACAGATTAGAAACAACAGAATATGGGCTCAGCTATACCCCCTTTTGCCCCTTCAGGAGATTTCCCATTTCTTTTTCACATTTAAACAAGGAAAAAGAAGAAACAAGAAGAAAGGATTTCTTCCACTGGCTTAGCTTCATTTTATAAAAATCGAATCTTCCACTAGTGAATGATTTTGCTGAACTGTTTGAGCTGTACCTGCTTATGTAACTATAACTACAGAATAAAAGTTTCTTTGATCATTTTCTGAATTCATGGTTTAAGACCAAACCTCCTGGTTGCCCTGTCACATCCTGCCTGGAAAACTATCAGAGAGAGAGAGAGAGAGAGAGAGAGAGAGAGAGAGAGAGAGAGAGGCAGACAGAGACATGGGAAGGGCCCTTCATCTTGCTACATGGTCAGACAGCAGTAAGAGTTAGCAGGCGGCCCCCATAGGCCTTTCTGTCCGGGTGGCTCAGATTGGACCACTCCCATGACTTGTCATCCTGTCACCTATAAGGCTCCAGTGGTTACCACTGTAAACTCTTGGCATGGGGAGGGTATGGAGAAAGAAAAAAGAAATTTTTAATTTCCTGGAATATGAGAGAGATTTTTAAAGACCAAATATTTCTCTGATTCATTGGAACTCTGCTGGAGCCCAGCTGAGGGTCAGTGCATGAGAGCAGCTCACTATCTGCACAGTCTGCCTCCAAAGGAAGCCCCCAGACTTACAGGAGCAGAGCAGTTTTCTGGCCTGAGGCATCACCCCCATCCTCGTCACGTGCCTCCTTCCTGCTTCCCACAACCCCCTTGCTACCTGAATTTATGGGAAAAGATGCTGGTGAACAGAAGTTCTCTGCAGACACAAGATAAGGTTATTTTCTGCCTTTTCAGATGGATAATTTTTTTCAGATGAATAATTTTAATAATCTATGTTCCCTGGCTCTAGTTGCCATTTTGGCTTAAGCAATCAGTACTTTTAAAACATGTTATAATCCACTTTATGACACTATGATTTTATGCACGCGCGCGAGAGAAGCAGACAGACACAGGAAGAGGAAGAGTAACAGTCGAAGGGCTCTGACGGCCACACACACATTAATACTCTGTGATCCACAGGGAGAACTGCCCTGATGGTTGGCCCCCTGAATTTCCAGCAGGAAAGCCCCATCCCATAAGACACTTCCTCCCTCTGCCCTTGGGAGAGTTCTTTCACGAATGCTCCTGGCTGTGGACTCGCTGTACCCAACAGAGGGCAGCTTCGGGTCACCAATAATCAGCCGAGTGTTCGTCCTGAGAGTTTGACAACAATCTTTTCGTTTTCCTACAAAAATAAAACCACTTTCTTCTAAATGACTGTTCCTTGAAGGGGAACTTTCTGAAGCGAAGCTCCTCAGCCAGAGGGCTGGGGTGGGATGGGGGTGCCTGCTCAGTATGTGACAGACGCTCCAGCCAAACCCACCCCTCTTTAATCAGAAGAGAACATGAAGCTTCAGACCCGAGTGTACAGCCTCATTTGGCACTCTGCTGGCTTTTGAAATGGTCCACCAGACCTGAAATTTTGTGCACCAAGAAAAGGAAGACAGTTTGAAAGCAGAGACCCCAGTGGCCCTGGAAATGGGAGGAAAACCCACATAGAGCACCTGCACATGGTCTGAGATTTACTTCATCCCAAATTCCCTTTCCAAGGCTTGGCGGTAAGGCCACAGGTGCACTGACAGTGGGTAGGGCACGGGGCTCTGGCTGGGAAAGGAGCCCCTTGGTGGAAGGTGGGGAAAGCTTTGCCATTTCTGGCTGACTCCACACTAGGACTTCGGGGGCAATGATGTCCCCGAGAGCCTGAGAAAGGAAGGAAGGATATTTCTGCGCAAAGCCTTGTTGGGGGAAGATATGACTCAGACGCACGGGCAGCCCAGAAGTACAGTAGTGGCTATGTAGTAAGATTAATTCTGCCCTAATCCAGTAGCCGCCAACCACATGGGGCTAGTCAACTTAATTAAAAGCAAATAAAGTCATATTTCCATCTCTTCAGTCCTACTAATTATACTAGCATAGTAGCCACGTGTGGTTAGTGTGTGCTCTATTGGACAGCATAGATTTGCAGATTTCAGAAGTTTCTATTAGACAACACAGCTCTAATTACTGAAGGTCAGTGAGAGAACATTGTCACAGTTCCTACAGGAACCAAGTGAAGGGAATATTCTGAAAAATTCGAGCTAGGCTCCTGTCCAACCTGTGTCCTAGGAGGCTGGGGAATGCGGTTGCTGGTTGGCTGTGCAATACTGTGTTTTGCTCTGAGCTAATTCCCACTGAAGCTTTGGGGTCTATTAATTATAGGGAGGTTCTGTGTGTGCTACTTGTAATTTATGTTCTAGCATAACTAAGTACTAATACCTAAGTAAGGAAAATAAAATCTGGCAGGAGAATAGCTAAGAGTGTCTAAGAAATTAAAATTAGGAAAAAATACAGTCCTATATTTGCAACTGCATTTGAACATAAGTTATAAGTATGTCTGGCAACATAAGTTATAAGTATATCTGGCATATATAATTTGTAGAAATTAAATTTTTAGATTTTTTTTTTTTAAAGACGACATGGAGACTCATCTCCCAAAAGGTGGCCGGATACTCACTGACCTGTGAACATGCTGAAAGCCGCAGGGGCAGCCCAGGGCAGCATTAGTCTCTGTCCACCCCTCTGGCTGTGGGAAAAGCTGGTGGACACAGGGGCCCTGGCTGTCCTTTACCCGGGGAAGGTGTGAGCACCCCAGGATGCCCCATGGCAGGGAAACACTGGAGGGACAGTCTCTTTGGGGGTTCTTACAGCCCGGGGACCGTGTCCTTGAGAAGCCCCACTGGCTCTTCCACTTCTGATGGTCCTCTGCAGCTCCCAGGGTCAAACACACCACAGCGAAGGTCAGCTTCAGGGTCTAGTCCAGGGCTTATGCATAACAATTTGATCAGAACTTTGGAGTTTGAAGATGCTTTTATTATTTCTATAAGACAGTGGAAATCTTATGAGGACTCCCTTCCAGTGGTCCAGCATCACACACCCATGACACAGTATGCCAGATGTGGTGGCTCACACCTGTTATCCCAGCACTTGGGAGGCTGAGGCTAGAGGATTGCTGAGAGTTGGAGGCCACTCTGGGCTCCATAGTGAGTTCAAGGCCAGCCTGCAATTACATAGGGAGACTCTGTCTCAAACAAACAAACAAAAAAGACCGGCTGCATATTACACATTGTATACCTGTATACTGTACCTCAGACATATGTATAATTATTATGTCTTTCGGTTTTGGGGGGTTTTTTGGTACCAAGGATCAAACTCGGGTCCTGGCACTTGCGAGTCAGATGGCAGAACCACTGAGCTAAATCCCCAGCCCTATAGGTCGATTAAAATAAAAATACAGGCATGGGATGTAACTTAGTTGTAGAGCACTTGTCTAGCATGCATGAGGCCCTGTGATCAATTCCCTGTACAAAAAAGTAAATATCTACCCAAGAAAGTAAATAAATTTTAAATAAAGACAAACTAGAACTTTTCAAAATTAAAATGGCCCCGATAGCCATGTCTCTGGGTGAGAGTGTCTGAGAAATGACAGTGTCAACCTCCACTGTGGTGAAAAATTATTAACTATTGAAAATGAATTCTAGGTTTATTCCTGAATCTCCCCGGTGGCTGATATCCCAGAAAAGATTTCGAGAGGCTGAAGATATCATCCAAAAAGCTGCACAGATGAACAACGTGACTATGCCTGCAGTGATATTTGATCCTATAGAGGTAAGAATTTGCAGATGTTTCCTCTTAAGGTCAGCTCTGAATTCTTGGTTTGATGGAATTTAATTTAATTCCGTATTTATTAAGTGCCTACCAAGTAGTAGACAAGGTGAGGAATACGATCATGATTATATTCTGGGATAAAATCCAGTTGGGCATGGCAGCTGGCATCAGTAGTCCTAGCTTCTTGAGGGGCTGAGGAAGGGGGATTTCTTAAGCCCAGGAGTTTCTAGTCAGCGTAGGCAACATAGTGAGACCCCTGCCTCATAAATCCACTGTAAAGGGCTGTTTTAGAATTACGTAGTATTCTAAACTCGTGCCTTCTGGGATTACAGGCATGAACCTCCCCTCCGGGGAGGCTCTTTTTAAACCATTGGGAAGGAGTCCTCATAAGATTTTCACTGGCTCATAGTGATAGCTGGGGATGCAGCTTGGTGGTAGAGTTCTTGCCTAGGTTGCATAGGGCCCTGGTTTTGATCTCCATCACTACCAAAATTTAAAAGAGAATTAAGTTCAATATATCCAATGATTGATGCAACTGTGTACTAATGACTCATAAATATCCAGATTAAGTGAGGAAAAAAATGTGTTTAAGGTTCGTTCACCCCAGTTTCCCTACTGTATCCTGACTCTCACCGCAGCCTGCTGAGGCAGCTGTCTTTAGTCTGGCTACAGGGCCTGTCAAGGGCCTTGTGACCTCTGAGTGCAGGCGTGGGGTTCGCCTCTGAGGGCGGAGGGCCGCAGGAACAGCTGATGCTCTGTGGAAGCACCCACGCTTCCTCACAGTGGGGACATGGAGGGTGCCATGCTCTGCTGGCCTCTAGAGACAAGCACCTTCGTGGAAGAAGCACAGAATGTGGTTAAGAGGGCAAGAAGATTAGATGAAAAGGCGAGTAATGACAAAAGGGAGGAAATGCTAAGGACCCAAGGAGTGGACACCACGTGCCAGTGGTACCGAGTAAGAAAGCAGGGTGGCCCAAGGGCAAAGAGGCAGGTACGTGCCAGGAGGACAGCAGGACTCACTTCAGTGACTGGCAAGGATGGGGAGGGCAGTCCCGGCTAGATGACAGGGGCCTCCAGAGCACCCGAAGGAGCCGGCGGCAGCTGCACTCTGAGCTACCTCAGGAAGCAGAACTGTGGAGCATGTAGTGGTGGCAGCGCCCCAAGAGGCCTCCTCTACCCCTGGCCGTCAGGACCTTTTCCTGAAGCACATAACCTGGCCCCAGCTGGAGGCATCATTACAGTGGCAACACACCAGGTCGCAGAAGCCTGCCCATGACAAAACTTCCTTAATTTTTTGCCCTTCAAATCAAGAAGTCCATCCCCAGTTTTAGTCAACTTCACTGGCTGCAAAAATTGCAAGACGTTGGGAGTGTCTAACACCACCACCTTTCAGGGCTGTGTATTTCTTAATATTTATTGGATTTGTAGCCTGTATGATTCCTATCTTCAAGAAATGTCTAATCATGGAGACCAGACCTACCCAGATGGCGGCATCATAAAACAGCTATATAGCTGTGGATAAATGAAAATAAAGACCAGCATCAAAACCTGGGCTTCTGCTCTGCCCTGATGCACATCCAGCCTGGTCAGCACAGCCCACCGAGGGAAGGAGAGCTTGTGGCTTCCAGACACAGGCTGCTGTAAGAGGACCTCCAGAGCCGGCGGACTCAGCTATGCAGTGATAACCAAGAGCCTCGCAAATGCTTGGCAGATATCTGACTCATTAGTCTCCTTTCTCAGGAGAGGGAACTGAGGCATGGAGAAATTAAGTGACTTGCCCAGAATCACACAGCCATTAAGAGGATTTGCAAACCAAGTCTCTCAGATATCAAAGTTCATGCTCTGATAAACAATGTTTTTTTTCTTTTGCATGTTAGGGGCAGTGGCATTAACTAGGAGAGGAAAAAATATAGTCTCATCACCTTGGAAAGCAATCTTAAGTTTCCCTGGCTTCAGAAGCACCTTCAAGCTGTTTATGCACCTTGTCTTTTGGCCTTTTGGTGGCTCGGCTCCATCCATGCCAGGGACAACCCCTGGACACAGGGAGACTTTTGTCCTGAGGTTTTCAACCCGGCTGCTCATCACAATTTTATATGGAGCTCTTCCTGCTTCTCTCCTCCTTTTCCCCTCCCCTCTTTTCTCCTCCTCCCTCCCCTCCTCTTCCTCCTTCCTCTGCTTCAACACTGGGATTGAACCCAGGGCCTCATACATGCTAAGCGAGCACTGTAGTCCTGACCTACATCCTGAGCCCTGGAATCTGCATTTTAGTGAGGTTCCTGTGGATGAGTCCCGTGTGGGCACCGGCCTGCCCCATGGGTCCTGTACGTGTTTGGCATCCCTAGTATCCCCAGGAGACTTCCAGCCCTGCTAGTCCATGCAGCAGCTTTGCTTCGTTGTAACAGCTGCGCGAGGTACTGCTGGGGGCCTGTTCTCCAAATGATGCAAGAGAGAAAAAACAATACAGCTATGAGCTGTGCAGGCATCTCACCATCTAGAGAGAAGAATGCTAATACTGAGGAGCCCCTGACCCAAAGGCGGGCCTGGCATTCGAAATCCTTCACAGCAGAACCCTTCCTGGGTCTCAGACTACACACAAGCCATCAGGCCATGATCCCCCTACTTCATCTCCAAGAGAGTCCCCCATACCCAATCTTACAGTTTTATTTCGGCTTCAGTTCTCATCATCTTAGTTATCTAAAGTCATAACTCATGGCAAGTAAAACTAGCAAATTAAAAGGAAGGAATGAGCTGAGCATCGTGGCACATGCTTGTAATCCCAGCTACTCGGGATACTGAGGCAGGAGGATTGCAAGTTCAAGGCCACCCTGGGTAACATAGCAAGGTCCTATCTCAAGGAAAAAAGAGAAAAAAGTAAAGGAATGAAGTTTACTGATAGAAATTGATAGAAGTAAGAAATTGTCTCTGGCTAGCATCTTCTCATCAATGGGGCAGTAATAATAATAACAATTAAAATTTAGTGGGCATCCACTGTGAAGTAGTGTGGCAAGCTTCATATATATGATCTCATTTAATCTTCTCACCTCCCAATTAACACACCCCACCCACTTCACAGAGAAGTAAACTGAGGCTCAGAGAAGGTAAATAGTAACGTGTCCAATGTCTCCCAGCTAGCCGGAGTCTGTCCTGACATTGAGAGACAAGCAAAGTGTAAAAAGCAGACATGATCTCCAGGCTACAGTTTGGGGATACATGGCCCTCCCCACTCAACAGCCCACAAGGATCACAGATCAGGGTGATAAAGGCCATCCACAGACGACTGTCAGTGGAAAATACATGAGAATTTAGGCTTTGAATGAAACTGGAGGGGCTGATGTTTTATATTTCCAAGCCTTCTGTCCCAAATGGGCTACAAACATTTTAAAGAGTTGGGGTAAACATCATATATGTAGATGACCTTATCTCTCCTCCAGGCTCGTAAGCACGTTCAAGGTGAAGTTAAGGGTGGCATGCCTTACACGTCATGGATGCAGAGGCATCTTTACTACTTCAAAACTCATGGTTATTTGCATTCTTTTAGCTACAAGAGCTAACCTCCTTGAAGCAGCCAAAAGTTTTCATTCTGGACCTATTCAGGACCTTGAACATTGCCAAAATAACCATTATGTCTTTGCTGCTGTGGTAAGTAATATGTGAGCTGGAAATGCAGATGCAGCACCTAGGTATGTAACCAATGTTCTGTAATTCAGGAAAGCATGGCAAGGCCTGGGTTATCATGAGGCAAAATAAAAACTACAGAGTTGTGAGGTACTTAGAAATGCCTCAATTCAATCTGTGGGACTAGATACTGAAAAAAAAATGCCAAAAAAGGAACAATATTAAGCTTGCAGTCCTAGGTCCCACAGGAGAAGAGTTTCCTTCCCTTCTAAGGCTATAGGATTAGGGCTAATGACATTCCTAATGCCTGAAGCAGAGGTGCCAATTCAGCTCCTGCTTCCTGAAGCTAAACCAGCAATTGAGCAAAAGGTTAGGATACCCTGGACCCCACTATGGGACCAGAATCTTGACAAGCTTCCTGTACTTACCAGTGGCAAACTACATGGTTTTTAGATGCAGCAATAATGGATTGGCTTTGCAGATTAGATTTAGTAATGTGCCTTCCAAGAAATGAGGAAGAAAACAAAAAGAAAAAGAACCTGATTGCTCCATGATGGCAGAAAAAAAAGAAAAGAAAAAGGAAATTCCTCATCCTCAGAACTAGTAGGTTCATTCTGCAGCTCGTCTATTTTTAGAACCAGCCTGTTTTGCAATTACAAAAAAAAAAATCAGTGACAGAGCCTACGCCTCTGAATTAAGCAGGTGGGTCCTAGGCCATCAGATGGCTGTCCTCACCACAGGCTGCCTTCATTCTTACCTGCATACACCACAGATGCAACGATGCGACTGCATCTCAGCAGTACCCCCACGGAGTCATCAACCAGTGAGTCACTGGTTCCGTCCAAGCTGCTCTGATTCCTCAGTTTGAAAATAATTAAGATGTCTAGGGCCATCTAGTTTATTTTTCCATTTTATTTTGAATTAGTGCTTGTGCTACCCCCAACTTGGTCTAATATATCCAAAGAGATCCAACAGTATTCCTGAAAACATCATTCAGACATTTCCGCTTTTAGTCATGTTAATAATGAGCAAAAGTCCAGATGGGAGGGGTGCATTTGTGGGCACTGGTGGCTCCAGACTAGCACTGTCCAATGGGACACTCTGAAAAGATGGAAGTGTTTCCTCTCCGTGTTGCCCAAAGTAGTCCCTGCTAGCATCTGAAGCATGGCTGGTGTGACAGAGAAACTTAAATTTTACTTAATTTTAATTTTTTAAAAAATAGCTGCCTGAGGCTAGTGGTTGCTTAGAGGAGAGCAAGATCTAGATGATCTTTTAACCATCACAAAAGTTTAGAGTGATTCAGGCTATGCTTTTGCCATATTTGTCTTCTGTCTTTTATCTTTCAGGATGCTAACCTCAGTGGGTTACTTTGCTCTGTCTCTCAATGTCCCTAATTTACATGGAGATATCTACTTGAACTGCTTCCTCTCTGCCTTGATTGAGGTTCCAGCTTATATTATGGCCTGGCTGTTACTGCGCAAGCTTCCCAGGCGCTATATCATAGCTGGCGTCCTCTGCTTCGGAGGAGGTGTGCTCCTCTTGATTCAGCTGGTGCCTGCAGGTAAGAAGTGAACCGAAACCCACACATTGGCGAGGCTGCCTGCCATCGCTGTTCCTTGATGATGTTGCCCGTACATCATAGGCCAATCATAGGTCAATTAGAGAGGTGATAGGTAACCGTGTAGTTTTCTGTGTTCAAAACAACTACTCTCAAATGGAAGAAGTGGCCTTGGGGAATAAGAAATCACCAACCACAAAAGGAGAGTAAGTCTCCTAGTTATCCTCTTCATAGAAAGACTCAACATAAACTCTCAGACCTCTCTCTTTGAGTCATACTCATGTTTCCAAATTTCTTGGTACTTTCGAATCTTTTCTCTGCAGTGTATATTGAGGTATTAACATAGGTAGTGCCTGGTGGTTCTGGAATAAATTTGGTGATTTTTATGGTCTGAATCTTTACGTAGTTAATTAGCACACAAACGAACTTAAACTTCCATTTTCCTCTTGTGTCTTTTTCATAATATTAAAATGTTAAGTCAATAAGTCAATAGACACATAGTGATATACATAGAAATGTACTTCTGAACAGTAATTAAGAGTGTGGAAATGACTGGCCTGTCTCTAAAGATTAAACTTAACTATATTAACATGTTAACAACTCCCCAAGAAACTGTTGGAACAAATGAAAAACAAGTGAGCGAAGGTCACTGGATACCTTGATGCTCTAAAATAACAGGAGGACAAAGTACAAAGACACTGTCACTCTCCATCCCTGCCCCGTCCAATTGTTAGGCCATTTGAATAGAAAACCTTATTGTGGGAATACTTTATGTTAATGAAAACTCCCCATCAAAGCAAAAGCAGTTATTATAACTCTTCAAGGCATGCCTGCATACGGTGGATCTCTTTTCCAGATTACAATTTCTTGTCCATTGGTCTGGTGATGTTGGGGAAATTTGGAGTCACCTCTGCCTTCTCCATGCTGTACGTCTTTACTGCAGAGCTCTACCCTACGCTGGTCAGGAACATGGCTGTGGGCATCACCTCCATGGCCTCCAGGGTGGGCAGCATCATCGCTCCCTACTTTGTCTACCTCGGTGAGATGCATCTGTCCATGTTCTCTCTTTAAATTAGTTTTAAATATGGAGGTAGTAGATTTTCATTGTGAAAAATTCAAACAGCATAGAAAATACTGGAGAAAGTACAAGTTCACCTCTCCTCTCCCAGTTCCCCAAATCACCTTAGCCAATTCTAAGGGTTTGGTGAATCACCCTTCACACATTTTGGTATCACAAATAAAATTATAAACATTGCTTGTAATTCTTTAAAACTTAACACTGTTACCAGAATATCCTTTCAAAAGGCTCTTTTGTTCTGTTTTTAGTAAGTTCATAGACTTCCAGTATCTGTACATGCATAATTTATGTAGCCAATTTCCAGTGAATGGACAATTAGACCATTTCCACATTTTTGCTATTTCAGGTTGAGTGACCCTAATCTGAAAATCTGAAATCCAAAATCTGAAACTTTTTGAAGGTCAGTGTTCAGATTTTGGAACATTTTGGATTTGGATTTTCAGATTATGAATGCTCATTTGGTAAAGTCTATGCAAATATCCCCAAACTCAAAAAGCTGTGAAATTGAAAACACTTTTGGTTCCAAGGATTTTGGAAAAAGAATGTTCAACCTGGCTGAGTAGTACTCCATTTTATAAAAAAACCCACATCTTCTTTATCCAGTTTCCAGTCGATGGGCACTTGGGCTGTTTCCAAGCTTTAGCTATTACAAACTGTGCCACTATAAACATAGGTGCACATGTACGGCTGTGGTATGATTCTTTTAATTCTTTTGGGAAGATACCCAGCAGGGGAATAGCTGGGTCAAATGGGACCTGTAGCCCTAGTTCTCTGAGGAATCTCCATACTGATTTCCACAGAGGTTGCACCAGTCTGCACTCCCACCAACAATGGAGAAGGGTTCCTTTCTCCCCACACCCTCACCAGCATTTGTTATTGGTTGATTTCTTGATAGCAGCCATTCTTTCTGGGGTGAGATGGAATCTCAGTGTTGTTTTCATCTGCATCTCTTGAATAACCAGTGTTTTTTTTTATATAAAATGGAGTACTACTCAGCCATAAAGAATGAGAAACTAGAGACATTTATAGCTAAATGGATGCATATTGAGGCCATACTCTTAAGTGAAATAAATAGGACACATGTGTAAATACTGAATAGTTTCTCTAGTGTGAGAAATTGAAAGTGTAAATAAGGATGTAAATGATTAAAATGAATAATTGATAATCTGAAATGAGAAAAGGTCCAAGGGTTTGGGGATGGTGGAAGGGAAAGGGGAAATGGAAGAAGGGAAAGAAAAAATTATGAGAAAAAAAAAATTGGAATCAAACTCTGTGTAAATAAGGAAGGGTGGAGAGGGTGAAGGGTGCACAGGTAATGGGAGAAAAAATAAAAACTAAGATACATCACGTTCTGGTACAAACACCCAGTGATAAATGTAAATGTATTTTATACCTAAAATCTACCAATAAATATATATATATATTTTTAAAAAAGAATGTTCAACCTGTACAAATACTGTAACTTTACCACCCATGTTTGCCTGTGGCACTATACCCTTCAGGCATTTCTTTACCTATATTTGGACTCATAGATAGATTCAAAGAAGTAACATTGCTGGAACAGAGAACACCTTTTTATAACTTCCTAAATATTCCCAAATTGAACTGTAAATATTGTACCCACTTTCAATCCAGCTATCAATAGTGAGAGTGGTTGTCTCCCCATATCCTTCCCATCAATGGGAACTAGCCAATTTTTACATAGTTGGTAACCCATCATATGAAAAATGCACATCACTGTTGCCTTTGTTGCCCTTTCCCTAATTATAAATGCCATCGAGCATGTTTTCATTGAGTTTTAGCCAATCCATTTACTGTTCAGTGAGCCGACTGCACACTGCCCACTCTTCTACTGGTCTTTTCATCTTCTTTCTTTTGGATTTGTGTGAGTTCTCTGCAATGGAAGAAAAGAAAGCCTCTGTATCTACGTTCTAAATAATTTCCCTAGTTTTTCATTTGCATTTTGACTTTATGATTTTTTGCAATGCAAAAACTTTTAGTTTTTATGTAATCAAATGCATCAATCCAGAATAATACCACAGACCGGCTTTCCTAAGATGCTCGGTGGGATGTAGGGTCCCGCGTTCCATGCCTCCTCCTTACTAGGGACTCTATTGGTGAGAAATGTAGGCCCACCTCTCTGTCCTTCCAATCATCTATTGGTTACTTACTGTTTCAAACACACACACACACACACACACACACACACACACTCTCTCTCCAAAGACATACACATTCTCATAAAAGATACATGCTAAATTCTTACAGAGAAATACATTCCTAACGTAAACATTCTCTGCACAGCTCCTCTGAACAATAATATTATACTGTATTTTATTATACAGTGGTCCCCTCTTTGTTCTTCCGTATGCTTTTAAACTATATTCAGATGGTCCAGTTGGGGGAGCCCCAGAGCACCGAGCATTCCACACCTCAAAAGTTATTCTTGTTAGCAACACAAGTCACAGAAACACCTCAGGATCAGTGTTTTTTTCTTGTGTTTTCGGTCAAATAGAATACTATGTATGGGTGTATTTTTCCTCTATACTGTCTGTATGCAGAAAAGAAGGAAGATGAGGATCTGTTATTCCCCTGTCTTAAGCAATTCCACATAAAGAAGAAGTGGAATGACTCTTCCAATTACATATAAAATGAAGATACGTAAATGCTGTGAAAAGAAACCAATTCCAACTACTCAGCTCTAAAGAATGACACACTTGAGACATTTGTAGGAAAATAGATCCACCTGGAAAATATAATGTTGAGTCAAATAAACCAGACACACAAGTTTAAATACCAAATGGTATCTCTCATTTGAGTGAGGCAAAGTACAGAAAAGTACAGAAAATGATAAAGGATGGGAAGAAAGGTCCAAGGGGTTGGATCTCTTGCAATAGATAAGTGGTCCAAGGGAACAAGGGTGAGGGGTGAAGAGGAAGGGAAGGGGAAATGAGAGGAATAAAAAAGTGCCATGTACAGGAACCTAATAACCTCAATTTATGTAAACACTATACACCGTAACATGAGCTAAGAGAAATTATATCAGCAAGTACAAAAAAACGGATAAAGGAACCTGAGGGGGAAGGGGGAGGGAAGAGGAAGTGGACTAAAAAGAACAAGCTGTAATATGTTCATGTAACCACTCCCCAAGCTGACTGTAAACTGCACGAACTGCAAACTTGTACTAGTAAAGTAAAAGAAACTAATTCAGGCACAGTACTTTGACATAGCCTGTCTGACACTTATTATTTATTGCTTTAAATTGGATTGAACATATTACTTAGATTTTAAAGAGTCTCAGGACTCTGTGGACCTTGCTTTCCACTGTAGCCTATGGGTTTACACAAAAGCAAAGTGACACTGGAATTATGACGGCCACAGCCTGTCACTGAAACATCCTACTCAACCTCTTGCCCCTTGATGCCCCATCTCCTGTTACCTCCACCTTAAGAGACGAACTCTGGTAGGCAAAGACTTCTGTCAAAGGGACATCTGTCACACATGACTAAGCAGTAACTTAAAAGATACCAGCTGGGGCCGGGGATTTAACTCAGTGGTTTTGCCGCCTGCGGCGCAAGTGCAAGAACCTGACTTCGATCCCCCGTACCAAAAAAAAAAAGATACCAGTTGACAAGAAAGAATACAAGAATCTTATGATAATGGAATATCAATTAGGTAAATGATTATGAAATTGCAGTCAAGGACATCTGCCAAGAAGAAACTGATATTTTGCTTCTGAAAATGTTTCAACTTACCTAGCACAAAGAATCAACAGCTGGGATCTCATCTTATTAAAAAGCTTCTGCACTGCAAGAGAAACCACCCACAGAGCTCAGAGACAACCTACAATGTGGGAAAAAATTTTCAGCAGCTGTAACTCAGACAAAGGGCTACTATCTAGAATATATAAAGAACTGAAAAAAATCAGACCCCCCAAATTGAAAGACCCAATTCAAAAATGGGCATCTGAAATGAACAGACATTTCTCAGACAAAGATGTAAAAGCAGCAAATAAACATATGAAAAAATGTTCAACATCACTGGTCATTCGAGAGATGCAGATGAAAACAACCCTGAGATTCCACCTCACCCCAGAAAGAATGGCTGCTATCAAGAGATCAACCAATAACAAATGCTGGTGGGGGTGTGGGGAGAAAGGAACCCTTCTCCATTGTTGGTGGGAGTGCAGACTGGTGCAGCCACTGTGGAAATCAGTATGGAGATACCTCAAAGAACTAGGATTGGAGGTCCCATTTGACCCAGCTATTCCCCTGCTGGGTATATTCCCCCCAAAATTAAAAGAATCATACCACAGCGGCATATGTGCACCCATGTTTATAGCGGCACAGTTTGTAATAGCTAAAGCTTGGAAACAGCCCAAGTGCCCATCAACTGGAGTCTGGATAAAGAAAATGTGGTTTTTTATAAAATGGAGTACTATTCAGCCATAAAGAACGAGAAACTAGAGACATTTATAGCTAAATGGATGCATATCCAGGGCATACTCTTAAGTGAAGTAAATAGGACACACATGTGTAAATACCAAATAGTGTCTCTAGTGTGAGAAACTGAAAGTTTTTCTTTCTTTTTTTTTTGTTTTGGTACTGGGGATCAATCTCCGGTCTTTGCGCTTTCGAGGCAGACAGCAGAACCACTGAGCTAAATGCCTGGCCCAAGAGAAACTGAAAGTTTAAATAAGGGTTAAAATGATTAGAATAAATAATTGATAACTTGAAATAGGAAGAAAGGTCCAAAGGGGTAGGGGTGATGGGAGAGGAAGGGGAAAGGAAAGAAGGGAAAGGAAAAATTGTGAGAAAAGAAAAAAAAAGGAAACAAAGTCTATGTAAATAGGGAAGGGCTGAGGGGGTGAAGGGTGCACGGGTAATGGGGAAAAAATAAGAACCAAGATCTATCATGTACAGGTACAAGCACCCAATGATAACTGTAAACGTATTGTATACCTAAAATGTACCAATAAAAGAATTTAAGAATTAAAAAAAGGAAAAAAAAGAATAAAAAAAGAAAATGTTCCAACTTAAACTGCTCTTGTATACTGTTTGCCACCTTCACAAAATGATTCTCAAGAGTGTTCAGGAATCTCTGGGTCTAACCAACGTCCTTGTGTTTGGTGGTTTGCAGGTGGTTACAACCGACTTCTGCCCTACATTGTCATGGGCAGTCTGACTGTCCTCATTGGAATTGTCACCCTTTTCTTCCCTGAAAGCTTTGGGGTGGCTCTACCAGAGACCTTAGAAGAGATGCAGAAAGTGAAAGGGTAAGTGGAATTTAAAATAATTTGAAAAATAAACATGAAAGACTAGCTAGGCAGCCTGGGCAACTTAGTGAGACCCTGTCTCAAAATAAAAGGGCTGTGGATGCAGCTCAGTGGTAGAGCGCTTGCTTGGCATATGCAGGACCCTGGCTTCAATCTCCAGTACTGGAAAAAAAAAAGGAAGGTTCTGAAAAAGGAGAATGCTAAGTAGAGACCAGCTCTGTCAGATAATGAAGCATACTGTTAAGCAAGTGAAGTAATGGTATAAAAACTCTGGTCAGTGGTGGAGGGTACAGTTCAAGATAAAACCCAAGAAAATAATAATTCAGTATGTGATAAAAAGTAGCAATTCAAAATGGGAGGAGTTAAATTATTCAGTAAAAACTGTTAGAACATAGACATTTTGAGGAAATAAAAATATGGAATCCTATCCATTATATCTAGATTAAAGTCAGAAAGGTAAAAAAAAGTTTGAAGTATAAAATCATAAATGTACCTAAAGAGAACATATTTTTATAGTTGTTTTTGTGGTGCTGGGGATGGAGCCCAGGAAATTGTGCATGCTAGGCAAGTGCTCACCACTGAGCTACACTCACAACCTGGAAAACACGAATATTTTTATAACCCTTAGAGCCAGTCTTTCAGAGAATATTGTCAAAATGAAAGAGCCATAAAGGAAAAGATTGATATACCTAGCCATACAATTTTTAAAAAGCAAAAATGAACCATAAAGAAAAAAGTAAGTAAGACTTTATAAAGTAAATATTTGCAACACAAAATGCAGATGTGGGCTAATACAGGTAATATACAAAAGGCTCTTAGTAATCAGTGGAAAAAAAGACAACACAGTAAGAAAACTGTTTAAAGACATAAACAGGCAGTTTATAGAAGATGAAAGTTAAATTTCCAATATGCACATGAAAAATTACTTGTCCACACTAGAAATGCAAAATAAAATACAGTATTTTTCATACTGCAGGATTGGGGGAGTGGGCCTTTCTGACACCTTTGTGACCCTACAGTTCCGTTCAATCCAGACACCACTTGGATTTCGCATCAGGCTCCACAGGTTTAAGGGCTCCCCCCACCCTGCCACTGTCCTCACTTCACGTGCCAAGCAAGCTCCCCACACTTGTGTCTGACCTGGCTGGAAAGTCAGCTTTTCCACAGTTCCCCACCTCATGTTCAGTGATTTGCCAAGAACACTTCCCAGACCTTAGGAAAACACTTCTCTAATTCTCAGCAGTGTGTGACAAAGGACACAGCGAGCGACCAGATGAGAGGTTCAGAGGCCGGCTCTGTCTCTGGAGTGGAGCTGGGTGCACCATCAGTGGTAGAGTGCTTGCCTAGTGTGCACAACGCCCTGGGTTCTAGTCCTAGTTCCACAAAAACAACAATGAAGCTTAGCAATATGGAGAAATTGAGATTCTAAGGTGAATCTACCTGGCTTAATATCCCACATGTACTGTTTCAATTCAGGGGATTTAGCTCAGTGGCGCCACCGCCACCTGCCTCCCAAGCGCAAGGTCCCAAGTTTGATCCTTGGTACCAATCAATCAATCAATAAATAAATAAATTCAGGGAAAACATTTACGTTTTCTTGAACCTCAGTATTCCCATCTATTATATGGGAATATTTATGGCTAGTTTGAGGTCATAAAAGTAGTGTTTAGAGTATTTGGCCATAATCAAGCTAAGTGTATGTGTACATGAATTTGATTCCTGACAAAACATGTACTACAAAGGTACCCATTTTTATATTTTCTTCTAAGGATATACAATGATGCCTCAGTTGTCAAGCGGTTCTAAGCTCAAACTTTCCACTGCTCAAACAGCAAAGTTCAAAAAAAATCTGCTTGGTGTTCATAACTTTGCTGATAGTCGAATCAAAAAACCAACCTAAAGAAACCTGTACAGGGCCACAGACTCTCACCCAGCCAACGTATAGTGCTTGTGTTAGTGGTTACAACGTTTGTCTTTTTTGTTTTGTTTTTTGAGACAGGATCTCACTATGTAGCCCAGGCTGGCCTTGAATTCACAGTGATCCTCCTGCCTCAGCCTCCCAAGTGCTGGGATTACAGGCATGTGGCACCGCACCTAGCCTGCTTTTGCACTATATTTGCATAAAATATCATAACCGTGGCTCCAAAGAAAGTGATACCAGCAGTAAAGCTAAAAGTTTTCCTCAAAGCAGGAAAACTTTGAGAACCACAATAGAGTTAAAGAAAGAAATTGTGAAATTTGTTGAAGTCTTGGAAAAATAAATTTATAAGTGTAATTTCGGGGCCTCGGAACCAATTATTTGGTTTTCCATTATTTCTTATGGGAAAAATATGTTCCGTTCTTGAACTTTTCAGTGTTTGAACATGAATTTGGACAAATTGAGTTTGACAACCAAGGTATCACTGTAACTACTTCAGTATCAACTTTAACTGTCAAGATATTCATCCCCACTCCTCTGTCCTTTCCTCAGGAAAACTGTGAATGAGTTTAAATTCTGGGTTTTATATTTAATTAAGAAAATGATCCCAGATGTTCAAAATCATAAAATAGTGGATCTATACTCGGAGAGCCTTCAATTAGAGTTCAAAGAATTACTTGTTCCTTGTTTGGAGAAATGTTTTTCAGTGTGGCTTTTTTTTTTTTTTGGTACCGGGGATCGAACTCAGGTCCTTGCGCTTGCGCAGCAGGCCGCAAAACCACTGAGCTAAGTCCCCACTCCTCAGTGTGGCTTTTTGAGAAGAATCTTGACTGTTTAATTTTCTTTAGCAGCAATTGTATTTTCAGGTTCAGATCTGGGAAAAAATCAAAAGACTCAAAGGAGAGAGAAGAAAGTCCCAAGGTTCTAATAACCGCATTCTGATAAAATTTGTTCTGCATTTGGCAAACCAGACAAACACCTAAGACTCTCTGAAGAAACCAAAGCCTCTCCTGCTGAAATGGACTCACAGTAACAAGCAACACTACAACAGACCTTGCTACAGAGAGAGAAGTGCTTATTGTCTTGTAAATGCTGAACCACTCTTCCAGATAACCCCCTTATTTTTAAACACAAACATTGCCAGAGAGTCCTCTTTACTAATTAATTCTATGAAATGTGTTTGTAAGATTTTTTGAAAATGTGTTAGTCAAGGACTGGCAAAATCCATCTAAAGAGTAACACCCTTTTCCCTGCGTACCAATTCCATCCAAATAAAAAGGTCACTGCGTTAATACCACTATGACATGACCACAGTGCGTAGCAATATGTAGATGTGTACATGTGGAAGACGATTACACAATGTGCAGGTTCTGAATCCTTAAACTCAACCAACCTACATTGACAGTTGCTGACCTGTACTATGCAGTTAAACCTATGATGGCTGTGTCTGTATTGAATATGTACAGACTTTTTTATTGTAATTATTGCCTAAGCAATATAGTATAATGGCTATTCAAATAACACTTACATTGTATCAGGTATTGTAAGTCATCTGGACTTAAGTGTACAGGAGGAAATGTGTCAGTTATATGCAAATGCCACACCATTTTATATGATGGACTATCGTTGTGGTATCCAAGAGGGTCTTAGAACTAATTTCCCAAGGATACTGGGGACAACTGTCTACAGTATTCATATCCAGAAAATGTTACACCCTCCTTTGAACATTATTTTTTTTTATACTTGGAATCAAACTCAGGACCTTGCATTTGCCAGGCAGGTGCAGTGCCACTGAGGTAAATCCCCGGTCCTCCTTTGAGAAGAATGGATGGATGTTAGAAAAATAAGCTTTTCCCTCTATCATCACACTCATACAGAGCATTTCTGTGTGGGGAGGTAGTTGTCCCCCCACACAACACGAAGTTCTCCAGAAGATGCCTAGGTCTAAATGAAGACTTCAATCCAATTCTGACGCTAGCTACCTGGAGAGAATGTCAAAGCCCATAGGACCAAGGGCTCGGTCCATAAGATGGCCCCGCTTTTGATGCCTACTGCAAGACCAGGCCACCATACTTCCGACCAATAAGGTCAGGGCTCCCAGGACCTCCTGGTCATATTTGCTAGGAGGACTCACAGAATTCAGGGAAACACACTTGCCAGTCTGTTAAGCAGGATGCAGATGAACAGCCAAAGAAGACATGCAAAGGGCCCTTCCTGCAAATGGATGTGCTCACCTGTGCACCTTATCCCAAAAGCTCTTCAGATCACCATCAGGAGTTGGACAGAGCTTGCTCTCCGGCACCCCCATCCCAGAGGTCAGTGGGTGAGTTGAAAGTTCCAGTCCTTTTATCTTCTGTCACTTGGTCTTCTGGTGGTGGGTCCCTTCCTGAGGCCACAGCATAAGTAATTAGTATAAAGTTACCAAAGGAGTTTATGATGAATAACAAAAGAACTCCTTTCTAGTCAGGAAATTCCAGTGGATTTAGGAGCTCTAAGATAAGAACCAGGGATGAAAATCAAATATATTCATATTATATCACAATGGCGGATATAAATAGTGTTCTGCACGTGAAATGCAGCAAGAGATTAATAAATAAGTTTCTGTAGCTTATCTGCCTTCAAGAAGGAGTCCTAAATTATCTAGCTACAATTGCAGCAGTTGTGCCTCAAAGCCTATTGAATGGTCCCTGTCTGCTATGCTTTTTTTTTTAAGAGCATGTGACAAAGCCTTCTGTTTCCTAAAACTAGCTTACAATATGATATATTTTGCCAGGAAAAAGAAAAATCAGGAAAACTGGACAAACCAGTTAGATGGGTAGAGAATGCTTGCATGCCCCACAGCTGAGAGGAGCGAGCGCTGAGAAAGAAGGCTGCCAAAGTTTAAAACTGTTCCTTTCCCGAGCACGTACCTTCCTGCACACCTCATTCCGTGTATCCTGTGCAATGGCAGAACCTCAGAGCCAGAGTGAGCAGTGTCCAAAGCAGAAGGTGGAAGCCACTGAGAGGATAATATACTGCTAGGCAGGCTGAGATCACTTAGCCCAGTTACTGCTGCAGGCCTGGAGCAGTGTGCTGTCCTTTCAAGTGGCTTCTGCAGAGCAGCCCTGTGGCGAGGGACTCGTCCTCGATCATATCCAGAGATACAGCCTCCCCTGGGCAGGGAAGCCACTAGTTTTGACACGCTGCTTGTTATTGGCATCGCCTCCTAAAAGCGATTACCATTGCTGTAACATCTCAATAAGCTGCTCAGCTCTGCCGGTTCTCTCTGGATATTTTCCCTATGTCGTCCACATTTTCTATCTTAGACACTGACACACTGATTCTCATTTTGGATTGTTGCTTTAATCCCTGCACGATATCATGCTCAGCGGTTGGCAGGGCAGGTGCCTGGCCTGCAGCTGGTCTAGATGCCTCTGCACCAGCCCGCCAGCCGCCATGCCGCCTGGGTGCGGGGAGCAGACCGTGGAGCCTCCTAAGAAGCTGTCCTTAAACTCTTCCCACTAGACTAGCAGGGGCTGCTCATGCCTCTCCTCTGTGCTCGTCTAGGACTTGTCACCCTTGCTCAGTTGTCCTTGTAGGTGGCTCTCGGCTCTGGGAGGCCAGGCACCTACCTGGCTCATCTTTTCCTCTTCCCTAGTGCTGTTCAGCATAGTGCTTCCATGGTAATAGCCACTTGATGTTTATCTTCACTAAAATATAACTCTAGGGGCCGGGGATTTAGCTCAGTGGTTCTGCCGACTGCCTCGCAAACGCAAGGACTGGAGTTCAGTCCCTAGTACCAAAAAAACAAAAACAAAATAAAATATAACTCTAACTTGGTTGAAATGTTTTTTGGGGTTGGGGAGGGGCATTAAGACAGGGTCTCACTATGCAGTTCAGGCTGGCCTTGAACTTATTATTTAGTCCAGACTGGCCTCAAACTCACACTGATCCTCCTGCCTCAGCCTCCCTAGTACTAGGATCACAGGTGTGCGCCACCATACCTGGCTTGGAAATGTTGTTTAATGGGTAGACATTTTAATTTTTATGCACCTAAACATTAAATGCTCTTAAAGTTTTTGTAAATATAAAAAGTAAGGGTGCGTATTTGGGGGGGGGGGTACCAGGGATCCAACTTGAGACCTTATGCTTTCGAGGCAGGCAGCAGAACCACTGAGCTAAAATCGCTGGCCCAGGGGTATGTTATTTAACTTGTATTGCTGTTTGTGTGGGGACTCTGTAATAGTAAAAGATGACTTTTTTTAAAAAACCAGGATCTTACTATGTAGCCCAGGCTGGTCTCAAACATGCTATGATCCTCCTGCCTCAACCTCTTGAGTGCTGGGATTATAGGTGTGCACCACCACGCCCAGCTAAGAGACAATGTTTACAAAAGTAAACAAGTGCACAAATGATTGTGTCTCTGCTAGTTCAAAGACCAATTAGACAACACACATCAGAATAGATATTTGATTAAATTCAAATAAACTGCTAATTTTTTTTTTTTTTAAACTGCTAATTTTTAAAACTGCTTTTTAAGGGCCAGGGATTTAGCTCAGTGGTTCTGCCGCCTGCCTGAAAAGCACAAGGTTTGGAGTTCGATCCCTGGTACCAAAAAACCCCCTGCTTTTTAAATTCATAGTATCTCTTCTGGGAATTAAACATAAGATAAAATAAATAGATTTTATTATGAACTTTTAAAGAAATCTATACATCAGAAAATCTTAAAATTAACAGAAATTGGAAAACTATGAACCAAAAATATTATATGTGCTGCCAAAGCAAGCACTGAACCAAAAATATTGAGCCAAGTTACCTTTCTGTATATGCACCATTAAAAAACTTTTTATTAGTATATGTTTATGGTACATAGATTATGTTTATCTTGGGGAATCAGTATATATACATATTATGTCTTGGTCATAGGTAGTAAGTTTTAGGCCAGGGATTTAGCTCAGTGGTTACGCTGCCTGTCTTGCCAACACAAGGACCTGAGTTCGATCCCCAGTTCCAAATAAATAAATAAATAAATAAACAAACATAGGTAGTAAGTTTTAAGATGCTCATTCATGCTCCAGTTAAAGCAGATAGTAGGAGGGCTAAGTAGCCTTCGGAGACAGCCTTGGGTCTGTCACTTACCAGCTGTGTGGCCTTCAGCCAGTTATTTCTTCATGAACTTCAGCTTCTTTGTCCATATTGGGAGTAATTCCGTGAGATAATGAATGCATAGTGTCCGCAACATGCCTGGAGCAAGTGTTTTCTCTATCTCTGCTCTCACGTATCCTCACTTCCTTTCTTGTCGAGTTTAAATTTCATGCTTAATTATTATGATCAAATTCCTTAATTTCTTTTTCTTTTTTTGGTACCGGGGATCAAACTCAGGTCCTTGTGCTTGCGTAGCAGGAGGCAAAACCACTGAGCTAAATCCCCCGCCTCCTTAATTTCTTAATCCAACTTACCTCTCGGACGAAGGATGACCTGACTCCAGTTCGGTCCTACCTACACACATCTTTTCCCTTCACCTGCCCAGCTGAGTGAAACTGGAAAAAAGTACGCAAACCTGGTGACCAGCTTCACTTTCACCATCAGCAACTTCCAGAGGACCCGAGAGCCCTGGTCCATTCCCTATTTGGGATGACCTTTTCTTCACAAGCTCACAAGCCCAACACCTTCTGTGCCACACTCACCCACATCTGGGCTTTTGCTTCCTGCTGCACTAGAAACTAGAAGCAAGGGGAAAGAACATCATCCAGAAGCCCTTCCCGTCCCCCCTGGCCCATGTGCCTCACTTCCTGTCTTTCCTCCATTGTTTAAGATCAGCGTTTGGTCCCCCTAGCATGGGCCCTCAACCCCTATGCACTTGTAGTCCTCCCTGGCTCTTCTCCCAGCCCTGACCCACTCCAGGACCTGCTCCCGACTTCTCCGTCCTCAGTCTTCTCCCTCGCGGGTGGATCCTCCTCGTTCAGCGGGCAGGCAGCCGTTCCTCTACAGTGCTGAAAAGTTCTGTCAACCCCACTGCTGCCTTTGGCTGCTGCCTTGTTTCTCTCTGTCCTCTTACAGTGAAACTCCTCGAAAGATGGCTCTAGACTGCTGCTTCCAATTTTTTGCCTTCCAGTTTTCTCTGGAACCCATTACACATAGGCTTTAGCCCCCACTTTTCACTAGGAAGTTTTCTCTGGTTCCCCAGTGACCTACATGTTTCCAAGTTTAATGATTACTCCAGTCCTCCTCTTACCTGAGCTCTCCAGGCGTTTGATGAATCCAGTTCTCTGTCTTCCAGGAAATGCTTTCTCGGACCCCACACTTGCTGGGTTTCCCGTTCACCTCAGTAGCTGCTCCTTCCCCATCTTCTCTGTCCTTTCTTGTCTCCCTGACTGCTTAGCACTGGAGTGCTCAGAACTTAGTGTTTGGTTCTCTTCCTCTTTTGAATACCCAGTCTCATGGTTCTAAATATCACCTCCACATTGACAACCACCAAATGAAAATAAGCTCACAGACTGCGCACTCAGTATATCCTCCCTTGAGTGCATGCTACACATCTCAAATCGAGCAGTCCAAATTTGACTGGTACGTAATTGCATAATTGCCTGTCCTCATCGTCTCTACCTAAAGTCATCTCCATCTCAAAAAGTGGCAACTGCACTGTTTTTGTTTGTTTGTTTTTGTTCTTTCTCCCCATAGCCCAAATCCAACTTGCCCGTACATCTTTGGCCATAATTTCAACATATCTAGACTCTGGCTTCTTGGCTGGATTCTGCTGGCTTCCTAACAGGTCCCTTCTTGCTCATTCTTGGGCTGCTCCCCTTTGACCTACTGTCTCTGTGGCAGAGTCACCTCAATCAGATCATGATGCTTTTCTGCTCAGAAACTTCCAGCAGCTTCCTATTTTAGATTTTTTAAAAGTACAGTGCCTGCTGGGCATGGTAGCGGAGCCCTGTGATCCCAGCTCTAGGGAGGCTGAGGCAGGAGGATTGTTGTAAATTCAAGGCCAACCTGGGCTACACAGTGAGTTCAAGGTCAGCCTGAACTAATAGTGAAACCCTGTCTCAAAAACAAACAAGCAAAAAAAGAGCACAATGCCTCACACTGGCCTGTAAGTAGGAGGACTACGCATCACTCTTGATCCAGGAGGGTCCCAATTTGTATTTATTGACACAGTGTAATTATCCATAGCCCTTCTCCCACCTTTCACTCTCCAAGTCTCCCAGTGTCGCTGGGCAGGATGGGCACGTCTCTAGGCACGTCACTTGGGAGGCTGAGGCAGGAGGATTATTTGAGCCCAGAAATTTGACTCCAGCCGGGGCAACATAGCAAGAACCAGTCTCAAAAACTAAAGTAAAAAGATAAATTAAGTCTCCCAACCTGGATGCGAAATTATATATGGTCACTGGTTCATAGGGCCCTACTCTATCTGGCCCTCTGCCCATCAGCCCTCCATCTCTCTCCCTTGCTCTCTTCATGCAGGTTGCCCTATACCCTTTGAATACGTGGACACGCTTCCCGAGTTCCCTCTGCCCAGGGCACTCTGTGTACTTTGTCCCATTCTGTCTGTCCTAACCTTACTCATCCATGCTTCATTTTTCTCCACAGTTCTTTCCACTCTCTGACTCCCTCGGTATTTGCTTCTTCCTCCACTGGAATGTACGCTCCATGAGGAGCACCCAGCGATCCTCAGCATTCAGAAGTGTTCAGGGGTGGGGGTAGCTAGTGGTAGAGCACTCGCCTAGCACGCCCAGCGCCCGGGCTTTGCTCTCCAGGACTGCAAACAAAGCAGAACAAAACACAGTGTTTGGCACAGGATGAATGCTTAGTAAATATCTGCTGAGCAAATGAGTGAACATGTCATCATCATCATCATCATCATTATTTTTTTTTTTTGGAATGTACTTTTTTTACGAAATCAATATTGTGAGGAGCTTTGTTTATTTTTTGAAAAATTTCCAGTCCATAATTTAAGAGGTTGTGTAGCTGCAGGCAATTTCCATAGTTCCCATTGTTCTGGTCCCAAAAAAGCATTATTTAAAACAGTCCTGGGTTGAGGGGGAGAAAGTCCACCGTCATGTCATGTCGTAAGACCTTTATGATGATTTCTATCCAAAGAGTCCGTGGTTTGATTTCAACTAACTTGTGTAACATAATCACATGACAAAGTTTTAATATCATCACTACAATTATTTAAAAACATTCCTCTTGGACCCCAATCTATTATAGAATAATTACTTAATGAATATAATGTCATGGGGAGATGGGCGTCAAGATCACCTAGGCTTACATTTATATACATTGTTTTGATAAGAAAATCCTTTACACACTGGATATGACCCTCTTTTTGAATTATAGGTATAGTTATAGGATCTGGCCAATGACATTGCTGAAAGCATGTCCATAATCGTACGGGAACCCAGAACAGGAAGGAAGATGTAAGCCCACCACTGTTCTTGAGTTTTAAAACGAGCAGGATCCTCCCCTAAACAAAGAGACAATGATTCATAACCTAAAGAAGTATTAAAAGGAGTTCCCTCTTCAGAGCGAAAGGTGGGAATCCCCATTCCCAAAGGAGGAGGTAAATAAGTAGATTCATTAGTATAAACCAAGGGGCCAACCTCATTCCGTTTTACAATTTCCAATAAAGGTGGATGGGGGACATAAGCCCAATAATATCATCATCATTATTATAGTTGAATGGGAAAAGTAATTTATTAGTTTTCAAAAGAGAAAACATTGGCTAATAAACCTTCCAAACTGTTCTGCTTGACAAGTAACCAGTTGAAAGAATACTGTGATGGTGTTTTCTATCCTTGGCTTTTTCTTCTGGGGGTGGCTGGTACTAGAGATTGAATGTGGGGCTTTCACGCTGAGCTACATTCCCAGCCCTTTTCTATTTTTTATTTTGAGACGGTCTCGCCAAACTGTCTTGGCTCAAACTTCCAGTCTTCCTGCCTCAGGTGCTCAGAGTGCTGGGATTACAGGTATGAGCCGCCTTGGCCAGCTACACCATTTTCCAAGTAACACATCAGCAGAGCACAGAAACTGCACAATTCAACACTGATGAGATTTTTAAGGAGGTGCATTCTCATACTCCTCTAAATTGCTTTTCTTTTTTCTGGAAAACAAATTGGCAGTGCTTCCAGAGGCTTAAAATGCTTGGTTTGTGGTTTGATTTGTTGGTTTTTACTTTTTGAATTATTAAGTCCATAACTATGAACAATCAAAGGTAGGGAAGTGCTTAGGAATATACATGTTTATTACAGCATTTTTGTAATTTAAAAAAATTAAGTATAAAAGCAGTTAAATGATGTCTTTATGAAGGAATATTATGCAGCTTTTAAAGATAGTGTTTAATAATTATTTTTAATAAAATGATAAAGTGTTTGTGATATAATGCACATATTTAAAATCCGTATGAGTAGGCTGGAAGCATAGCTCAGTGTACTTGCCTAGCATGCACAAAGTGTTGGGTTGGGTTCAACCCCCAGCATTACACACACACACACACACACACACACACACAAACATACACACATGGGCGCCAGTATTACCTAAATAATGAATGAATGAATAAACTATGTTTAAAAGGCATGAATAAAAGACTGGAGAAAGAATGTTAAAATATCTACAGTAGGTATGTTTAGATGTTAGAAAAATAGATGACTTTTGTTTTTGCTTCTTTTCTGTAGTTTTCCACACTTTACAGATGTTTCCTGAATAATATGTATTATCTTTTTAATCATAAAGAAACTTAAAATTTTTTAAATTGAATGTCTACTGAATGCTAGGTTATGGTAATTTTTCCCTTTTTTCATTTGGCTCTTTTCTTTCCTTTCTTTCTTTTGTGCGAAGGATAGAACCCAGAGCCTTGAGCATGCTAGCAAAGCGTTCTATCACTGAGGTACACTCCAACCCCTAATTCCAGTCTTGGGAGTCAAAGAGGAAGAACGGGAAGAATGTAAAATGCGAACCCTGGGAACGCGGTCTGGAGAGATTCTAAAGTCCTGCCTGCCGTCCCAGCAGCCAGCCCTGAGCTCCCATCTTGAACTGATCTCTGAGGAGGCTGAAACCCAGGTCAAAGTCATTTTCTGCAGCTCAGAGCTGGCTGTTTGTTCAGCTCCCATTCATTCTTCTGGAGCAGCAGTCACCTTTACCCTAGTTTAGACCAAGCCAAGTTGGATCTGCTGAGATGAATCACCTTGTCCCAAGGTTACATTTAACAGATTGGTAAACAGATTGTAAAAAAAAAAAAAAAAATTATGAGGATGTGAACTCTCACCCAGAGGATCTATCTGTGTTGACACAGAAAACTCTAAGCCTGATTCTGAGAACCTTGAGACAAGCATCCTCTAGCACTGCCAATGCCATCCTCCTTGTCAGAGCTCCTGTCCCCAAGGCTGCAGTCCCTCCCGCCTGCTCGCCCACCTGCTCACCCTCCCGCTGGGGCTGCTCCTGGTCCTGGGCCTCTGGAAGCCCCTTTCTTTACCCAGGTACACCCCCGGTTGGCCTCCCTCTCCTGACCTGTGCAGAGGCCTGTTTCCCCGAGAACTCTCCTGTCACCGGGCTCTGTCTCTTGGAGGGAGGCTGCTCCTTTCTCACTTGGCCAGGAACTTGAGGGCCAGAGGCGCTGTTTTCCTGGTTCCGCACAGTGGTCTCCAAACCATAGCTCCTCCACTCTCACCTTCACAGGGTGCCCCTTTGGGTCTGTCCTGTGCCTTCCGGCTGCTGTTACCAGCAGCTCGCCTGGCTGTAGTCAGAGAAGCCTCTGGAGTCCAGCTCCAGGTGTCAGTGGCTGCTCACCAGGATGAGCGACGCCACTCCTGCTTGTCTGTACTTGGCTTTACCTGTACTTCACCCCCTCGTGGCTGGGGACACACCCTGGGCCCTGTCATGGCCACACCAGCCCCGCCTCACTCTGGGACCTTTTGTTTTCCTCCCAGCCCTTCAGCTCTGACCTGACATCATCTCTGCTCCCCTGCAGTTTATTCTTCTGAATCCCCCAGTTCACGCATATGCTTGCCACTGTCCTGGTTCTTTTCATTTTTTCCCATTCACCGTCCTTAATCACTTTAATTTCTCTTCCAGGGCAGTCACACAAACTAGCCTCTTTTCATGATGAGCAAAACAACAGGAGACCAATTCAAGCACAGAGTGAAAACTGGGCAGCTAGGCATGGTGGCACTCACCTGCAATCCTAGCTCTCTGGGAGACTGAGACAGGAGGGTCAAAAGTTCAAGCTCACCCTGGGCAACTTAGTGAAACCCTGCTCAAATGAAGGAAAACTAAGAGACTCTGTCACTGCAAACGTGAACCAATAAAAAATAAAAACAGAAAAATATTTACAACTTCTACACACAAAGGTGCAAAATAAATGAATGTAAAGGCAACCCATGAACTGGAAAAGAATAATTGCAAACCATATATCTGATAAGGGGCTAATATCGAGAATATATAAATAACTATAATTTAATAAGAAAAACAACTTGATGAAAATTGGGTAAAAGACAAAGTAGACATGTCTCCAAAGAAAATATACAGTGGCCAACAAGCACATATAAATAAGATGCTCAACATCATTAATCATTAGGGAAATGCAAATCAAAGTCTCACTGAGATACTACCTCACACCCATTAGGATGCCTACTATCAAAATAAAAACCTCAGGGGCCAGGGATTTAGCTCAGTGGCGCAGCACCTGACCAGCAAGCCCAAGGCCCTGGGTTCGACTCCTAGTACCAAAAAAGAAAAGTAAAAAAAAAGACCAAAAAAAAAAAAATTAATTAAAAATTTAAAAAAAAAAAACCTCAGAAAATAAGATGTTGGTGAGGACGTAGAGAAATTGGACCATTGCTGGTGAAAATGTATAGTGGTATAGCTAACATGGGAAAAAAATATATATGAAGCTTCTTCTGAAAGTTAAAGACAGGATTGGGGAATATAGGTCAGTGGCAGAGTGTTTGCCTAGCATGTGTGAGGCCCTGAGTTCAAACCCCCGCTCCGCAACAAAACAAAACAAAAATTTAGATGTAGAGTTACCACATGATTCAGGAATTCCAATTCTGGGCATATATCCTAAAGAATCAAAAGCAGATACGCAGATAGATATTGTATACCTATGTCCATAGCAGCATTATTTACAATAGTAACTCAAGTGTCCATTAATGGATAAAAGGGTAAACCAAATGTAGTATGTACATTTAATGAATGGAACATTATTCAGTCTTAAAAAAGAAGGAAATTCTAATACATGCTATGACACATAGGAATCTTGAGGACATACTAAGTGGCAATAAATCATTCACAAAAGGTCGTATGCTACCGGGCCAGGGATTTAGCTCAGTGGCACTGCGCCTGCCTCGAAAGCACAAGGTCCAGAGTTCAATCCCCAGTACCAAAAAAAACCCCAAAACATGCTACCTCGTCTATGATGTGCCTATAGTGGTCAAATTCATAGGGACAGGAAGTAGAATAGTGGTTGCCGAGGGCAGGAGAGAGGAGTTACAGTTGAATGGGTAAAGCAGTTTTGAGAGATAAAAAGAATTCTAGGTGGTAGTGGTTGCACAATAGTGCACATGTAACTAATGTAACTAAACTCTATGATTAAAATAGTTACAGTGGCTGGGCCTGATGACACACACCTATAATCCCAGCACTCGGGAGGCTGAGGCAGGAGGATCACTGCCAAGTTCAAGGCCAGCTTGAGCTATACAGTGAGTTCAAGACCAGCCTGAACTACATAGAGAGACCCTGTCTCAAAAAGTCAATCAATCAAACAAAATGGTTACAGTGGTAAATTTTATGTTACATGTATTTTGCTACGATTTTTTAAAAATGAATGTAAATTTTAATTTCCCAAAGCCCCATCCTAGCAACCTTGTGCTTTTCTTATGCTGGTCATCAAAGCCAGGGTCTTGCACGTGCTAAGCTTGTGTTCTACCCACCACGTTGTACTCCAAGTCCCCAAACCTACCCTAAGTTCGCCACTTGTCTCTTCCACGGCTGCCTTGCTCCTCGGGGCCGTCATAAACTCGCTCTGATGCCGCACCAGCTTCCTACCAGTCAGCCCATCCTCATTCTTCGTTCTCCGTGCAGCAGCCAGAATGCTTCCTTTCCGATAGAAATCAGACCCTATCTGTTCTGTTCAAAAGTACTCTGAGAGTTTCTCACCTTGAGTAAAATTCGCCCTCCTTCCCACGTTGTCTCCAAGCACCAGAGCAGCCAGCCTCTGCATAAACTGGCTGCGTGCCGACCGGGTCCGCCTTCCGTCCCTCACCGTGCGCTCTGATCACTGTGTTCCATTCACGCTCCGTTACTACACTTTGGCCGAGAAGCGATCACGCTCTGTTACTCAAACACCCAGCTGTGTCCCTGCCTCACAGTCTGCACGCACTGCTGGGATGCTTGGGACACTCCCTTCCCGCGGCGTCACAGGAGAGGCTCCGTCTCCTCCCTGTACCTCAGCCTGGAAAGCACCTCCTCAGAGAGCGTGCCACGGACCATTCAGTCTCCAGCAGCCGACTCGGTCACTGTACACCAGCACTGTCTTATTTCTTATCGTCACTTACCACTACTTGAAATTTGTATTTAGTTTTACAAGTTTATGGCCAGCCTCTCCCTTCCCCAGCTAAAATGTGAACTACAAGAGAACAGATTGCTTCCTCAATACCCAGAACATCTCATTTGCCAAATGAATGAGGAATTAAATAGCACCGGTGACCCAGTGTTCCTAGGTAGATAGTTGATAGATAGACAGACAGACAGACAGATCTCCTTTAGGAAAACTCATGTTTCTAACATCAGCTCTCACTAGACTCTTTCCCATCTATTCTAGAATGTCTTTCGAGTTCCAGTCTTCAAAGTGCAAGTAGCATATTTCACATTTGATTTTATGCAAGGAGAGAATGAGTTCACTGCTAATAGGATAGGCAAATTTATTGCAATGTATAATTTTTCTGTGGAATTCAAAAACTGCCTTGTATCTCTTGAAGCCAAAATGTGAATTTTCATATTAAAAATTATACTCCTCTAAAGAAAAATTCTGAAAATCACAGTCCTTACAGAACTGTTCACAATATTTGTTTATAGATTTTTCTTCTAGTCTTCTGAATGTTTCAAGGCCCTTTCTCTTTATGATTAGCTATTTGTTCAAGCCAAGAGAGACCAAGGTTAAAATGCAGGATTATATAGAGGAGAAATGTGAAATGTGATTTCTCTGGCCCTTTTATTGTGCAGCCAGCCCCCTTCCAAGTCTACCCCCAGCAACAGGGGGCTCATGAATACAGACCTCTGTGTAGTTTTTTTGTTTGTTTTTTTTTTTGCATTCTTGTATACAGTGAGCAGTGATGAACTCAAGGTTTAGCACATCTATCACCTTAAATTTTTATCATTTCTTTACAGTGAGTACATTCAAATTCCTCTCTTCTAACCATTTTTGGACAACTTCTCCTGATCTTCAATCAACGTAGCTGCTTACCACTTGCCACCAGGTGTACACCGCTGCCCTACCCCTTTGAGAAGTGGCGGGCACAGATGGCTCCATCTGGGTGCAAGTCCCTTTTCTAGTTATGCATGGATATTCAGCAGTGCAAGGAAAAACTGGGTAGGTTCTCTGAGGGTCCTGAAAAGTTTGCTGATGGTTTCCATACACTAACAATGGCTTTTGCTCTGACCTGGCGAGATGTCCAGTTCACCTTGGCCTCTTGCCGCACAGCAGTAGAAAGGAAGAAGATGACAAGGGCTGCAAACGGTCTAATGATGAAGCCTTCAAAGCTTCATCCTCTGATAATCTGCCAGCTGCTGCGTTATTTGGGTCCCAAGAGGGGCCTGGGCGGGATTATAACACGGGGTGGAGAAGCCAAACAAAAGTTATACATCAAGGTCATCTTAGCTATGCAATGAGGAATGCCCAAACCTGTGAACTACGATAAGCTCAGGTCTATTAGTCAAGGTTTTGATGAGAATCCAGTTGCTTTTCAGCTCCAACTTTAAGAGCCACTCCGTAAATACACTAATTTAGACCCAGAGTCCAGAGAAGGTCAGATTATCCTAAAGCAGTATTTTAGTAGTCAGTCAGCTCCAGGTATTAGGAAAAAGCTCCAAACTCCAGCTGGGCCCACAAACCAAAATAAGTCAGTTGGTCTACGTAGCTCATTCGGTCTTTAATAACCATGATGAAGTAGAGTACAAACAAGAGGTGAATAAAGACAAGAGGCAGGCTAAAGCCATGCTCGCCCTATGTGGTAAGGCTCAGGACAAAGCCTGCAGCGCTAAGGGAAGCTGAGGTAATGCAGAGGGTGATGGAAGCACCAAGTGCTCCAAGTGCAAGTGAAAGGGGCACTGGGGAAGAAATGCCCTCAGAAACGCCCTGACCCTTGTCAAGCCTGTCACAACGAGGAAGAAGACCCTTGACTTTGGAAGAGGGACCGTTCTCATTCCCAGAGAGGGATGAGGTCATCCTTCACCGTGGTGGCCGGGGAAGACAGCCCAGAAGAGAACGATGGTGCCTGAGACAGCCTGCATGACACCTGCCGAAGAGTATTCTGATCAGTGTACAGGAGCCTCAGGTAACCCAGAAGTAACGGCCAAACAAATTATATTGCTCTGTGATGCTGGGGGAACTTATTCAATTGTAATTTCTTCTTGAGGTGAGCTTTCATCCCATTCTAAAGTTGCTGTGGGCCTTGAGGGAGTTAACAGGACACCTTTGTTTACCCCCACTCTGAACTGCCACATGGAAGATTTGCTTTTCCAAGCTGTCTTTGTTGTGATAACCAGATCCCCACCCCAGTGATTGGAAGAGTTATACTGTTCCTACGCAGGGACACTCTAACATTCAAACCTCTGGCAACCTATGGCCTAGTTGCTAGGAACCTAGCCAGCCTGATGCCACAGGGCCCGATGCCTTTACCAGGAATTGATCCCCAACCATGGTATGATGGCACTCCAGAGAGGGCTGTTAAGGCCACTCCAGTAGCAGAGTGTTCCGAGTCAGCTGAAGGACCCTAATTGATATCCTCCCAGAAAACAACCTTAAGAAAGAAGCTAGACAGAGTTAAAGCCCATTATTGATAAGCTTTTGGCTACAAGGTTACCGGTGCCATGCCAGTCCCTGTGCAGTACACCCATTTTACCAATAGTCAAGCCATTGGGAGAATATCACCTAGCTCAAGATCTCAAAGCCATCAGCGAGGCAGTGGTACCTACTCACCCATTACCCTTCAGCACAGATCCCAGGAGACACTAAATGCTTCTCTGTCCTTGATCTCAGAGACACCTTCTTTTCTATCCCCGTGGACCCTACCTCCCAATATTTATTAGCCTTTGAATGGGAAGATCCCCAAACTGGACTTCACCAACATTGCACTTGGACTGTCTTGCCTCAAGGCTTTAGAGATAGCCCCCTATTTGCATGGGCTTTAGTTCAAGACTGAGAGATTTAAAGTTCAAAAAGGGAGGCCTGTTACAGTACGTAGAAGACCTCTTCATTTGTGGCCCCACTATAGGATTATCTGATAAAAATACCTTTAAGATTCTCAATTTTCCAGCAAAAAGGTCTTAAAAGGTATCCCAACATAAGGCCCAGATTTCTCAACAGCAAGTGACATATTTGAGATATATTTTAACTCCAGGACAAAGGTAGCTGTCCCAAAGGAGAACAGAGGCAATTTGCTGTCTGGGCCCTCCAGAGTGTGAATAATAGTTGAGGGTTTTCTTGGAAATGGCAGGCTTCTGCCACATATGTTCACCCCATTTGGGAGTAATAGCCAAACTCTGTATGAGGCAACTCAAGGACCAGAAAATGAATTCTTAAAATGCACAGCAGCCACTCAATAGGAGTTTAAAGCCTTAAAGTGGGCCCCAAGGCAGGCCCCACTTGCCTAGTTAGGTCTAGGAATCCCAGACCTAATTAAGGGTCTGTTTTTGCGGCCAAAAAATAAGGAGTAGCCACAGGAGTGCTAACTAAGCCTCTAAGCCAGGAAAACCTACCCTCTGCCTACTTTTCCAAGGGACTAGATGGAGAGACACAGGGCTGGTCTAGCTGCCTTGGGCAACATCTGCTATGGCACTCTTAGTCCAAGAGGCTTCTAAGATAACCTTGGAACAAAAGCTTGGTAAGGCTCTGTTAGAACTCAAAGGACATTTGTGGATGACTGGAAAAAGGCTCACTATACACCAGGCTGTTCTTATTGAAAACCCAAATGTCTCTCTTCAGTCTCGTACCATTTTAAACCCAGCCACCCTCCTCCCAGCTAACCAACAGGTAGAACATGAATGTGGACAAACCATCACCTAGAATTATGCCAGCTGTCCTGATCTGAGGGACAGCCATTAGCAGGGCTGGCTGCCATGTGGTTCACTGACGGCAGGAGTTTCATCAGGGATGGCATTAGGAGGGCGGGCTATGCCATAGTGGGCCCTACCCAGGTCACTGAATCAAGAAGACTCCAGCCTGGAACTTCTCCCCAAAAGGCAGAACTTGTTGCCCTCACTTGGGCTCTCCAACTTGGCCAAGGAAAGAGGGTCAATATATATACTGACTCCAAATATGCCCTTCTGGTCTTAAATATATACACATGCAGCCATCTGGAAAGAAAGAGGACTTTTGACTAGTCGCCAGTCTCCAATAAAACATAGACCAGAGATCCTCAACCTCCTCGAGACAGTCAATCTCCCAAGTGAGGTAGCAGTTGTCCATTGCCAGGCATATCAAGCCTCCTTGGACCCCATCTCCCAGGATAATTCTAAAGCAGATTCCACAGCCAAATAGGCCACTCTTCAATATAATTCCAGTGCATCAGTAGCTCTGCCCACGGTCCCATTCCAGGATCTTTACTTGGAGCCAAAATACTGTACAGAAGAGCTTCAAATGGTCCATAGTGAAGAAGGAATTCAAAGGGGCCACTGGTGGTATTGGGACCCTGATTGTTCTTGCCACAATGAATGCAATGGAAAATCATTAAGTCCCTACATGATCCCTTCCTCCCAGAGTGAGATGCCTTCACTGTTATGGCACATAGGCTCTTGATAGGGCCTGGAGTCCGTAACATTGTAACCCAGCTCTATAAGAGGTGTGCTGTCTGTGCCCTCCATAATCCACAGGTTCATCCTCCCCCATTCCCTGAACCAATACAAAGATGTGGGTCCTCCCCTGGAGAAGATTGGCAAATAGACATCACCCACCTGCCTATGTGTAAGGGGTACATTCACCTCCTGGTGTGCATTGACACCTTTACTGGGTGGACAGAGGTTTCCCTACCAGGTCAGAATGGGCCTTGGGGTGGGCAAAAGTCCTTAAAGCAGTGATCCCTAGGTTCAGACTGCCTAGGTCTATCCAGAGTGATAACAGACCCTCTTGTACACCCAAAATAATGCAGAGAGTTGTCAAAGCGCTCGGAGGTAAGTACCATCTCCAAACTATATGGAGACATCAGTCATTAGGAGAAGTCAAAAGAGCCAATCAGACTCTCAAATGAACCTTAGCCAAGCTGTGTCAAGAAGCCCACCATGAGTGCCTAGATCTCCTTCCCATTGCTTTAATGAAGCCTAAATTTGACCTCAGTCCATTTGGGATGCTTTATGAGAGACCCTTTTTGACATCTGACTTACTGATACTGAAACTTCCCAGCTCCTTCAACATATGACCCACCCGGGAACTTCTTAACAGGCCTCCTGGAATATAGAAAATTATTCCACTCCCAGGAACTAACAGTAATTGTCAGCCTGTCTTAGTTACCTTTCTCATTGCTAAGACAAAATACC